TTATTATTCAATGATAATATGACTAGTTGTTATTATTCAATGATAATTGGAGCGTCGCCGAAAATTTTCCAATTTTCTCCCCTCATTTAAATGTCATTCACTCACATTCACACACGTTATGTAAATACGTTTTTTGATGGAAAAAAAACTCATGGTTCTATATGAAGACAATGAACATTCTCGAATCGATACCGAAATTATTCACTTTTTTGGCCATGGTTGTATTGCGTGTTTTCCAACTTCATCTCTCTTTTACACTCATGACATTCTATTTTTTTTTCGTCTTTTTCGATTGATGTTTCTGTTATTGTTGTTGTACATTTGAAATGGTACAAGTCTAGACGCATCTATATTACCTGATCGGGTATTTCATCTGGTGTGAGAATTTGTGTCTGTGATCCAGTCGGTGTTACATCCGATAAAGCTGTTGCTGATCTTGCTTCCATTTTGCTGAAATGTGCGATTGTTCGCCTAATTCACCGTTTTATTGATAATTTATGGCTTTGAATAATAAACAACAAATTGTGTTGTGCACTTTGCTAGCAAACTAGTGTGAACCGATTGTAGTGAGCAATGTTTTGCGTCTGATTCATGGATGGTCAACGCAACACACATTTATATGTGGGGAACTATGTGAAAAAACAAAAGGATTGACATTTTTGCACAGAAATTTCTCTCATTCATGTATCTGACACACGGCGTGGTGAGAGAGAGAAAGAGAGAGAGAGAGAGAGAGAGAGAGAAAGAGATTTCGAGAGCAGTGTGTAATTTGCTAAACTAGTTCTGTTCGGCAGAATGAACGATAGATGGCGCTACTGTCGATTGGCCACAGCTTCATGTAATTTTTATTAATAGAACCATTTTAGGCTTAAAAATGGGAAAAAATCATCTTAAACAATTTATTAATGAAATGCCAATGAATTATTTTTTTCCTAAAACACATTTCAAAATGGACTTTTTATTTTCACACAAGTTTAATTCATCTTCTTTGCACATTTTTGACAATTTGATGCGGTTTGAAGTAGAACAAACGAGAAAAATGCACCAAGCAAGAAGCAGCAAGGAAAAGTCAACAAAAGTCATTGCGGTGTAAACGTTATCGTTGTCAAAGTGGTTTTTTCTGTAAAAAAAAATCCTCATTCGTATGCAATTTCAATGACAATTAAATTGATTTCGAAGGCCTATATGGCGACAACACAACGGAAAGTTTTTCTTCTTCATTTGTCGCTCGATATCTCTGTCTGTCTCGTTTTAGCATAGCAACATTAGTCGAACTGTCAAAAAAATTTGACATCAGTCGCACGATTGATGCATAAACACAACAACGTACTATTAACATATTTTCTTGATGAAAAATCCGCAAACGCTCGAAAATCCACCAAAAATACGACCGTTTGATGCGATTAGTGAAAGAAATGTGGAAAAAGTGGAAATTCGACTGAAAAATGTGCTAGAATTGTGGTGAATGGACCGCTAAAAACGGCAATTAATACAGCGAACACTTAACCTTAAATCATCTCATCATTCTGTTTATGCAAAACAGTTTGTTATTTAAGTCATTTTAGTTTGTTTTTTTCTTTACCGAAAAAAGTCTGACCAATTTTGGTTCGTTTATACTGGAAAAGGTTATCCAATAAACAGCAGCCGTAGGTTGTGAATTTTAAAAGTTTTAAAAACATAGTTCACAATGGATCAAATGCTACCGAGTCCAGGGTTCTCAATACCCAGCATCGGAACACCGTTCCAGCAGTTGGAAGAGGACCAAACAATTATCGCAAACAATCCATATTATGCACAAAATGCAATTCATCCGCCGACTGGGTTAACGCCAGTCGGTATGGGCAATGCCAGTACAAGCAACAATGGCGTTGGCAGCAGCGGCCTTAATACAAATGTTAACGTTGAAACATCCACAAGTGCAACATCGAGCTTGCCGTCACTCATGAACACACCGACAAAGGCCAACAGTTACCAACCCAGCTATCAACCACCACCACAGAGCCTCATGCAACCACAAACACCGGTTTGTATACAGAGAGATGTTTTTGGTGTAATTTTTGCAGCATTTGGAATTTATGAATTTTTGATTTTGTTTTAATAGCAAAGTTTGATGTCGCCAATGGTGCCGATGACGGAACGTGTTAGCGAAAATGTGCCCAGCGTAAATGTTCATCCTATGACACCGATGACACCCGGCTCACAAGATCCCGCTATTTTGCCTCAATTACAGTAATGTCATTGAATTTTATTTACACGCCGGTTTCAATTGTTTTCATCAAATGTGCAATTTGGTTCCAAGCATGTTTTTCATCTCTTGAAAATTACACAGTACACAGAATCGTGCTCTCAAAAGTAAATTTCAAGAAATTGCGTTGAAATTGGACCAAATAATGCATTATGATGAATGATGACACCAGATTTTCCACTGAAATTTTCGTTCCAACCCATTTTTTATCAACCATTTTTTTATTTCTCTTCTTCTATTTCCTCCACAGAAACATTGTGTCAACGGTGAATTTAAATTGTAAGCTTGATCTTAAGAAAATTGCATTACATGCCCGTAACGCTGAGTACAATCCAAAACGTTTTGCTGCCGTAATTATGCGAATACGTGAACCGAGAACGACTGCCTTGATCTTTTCATCGGGGAAAATGGTGTGTACGGGTGCGAAGAGTGAAGAAGATTCCCGTTTGGCCGCCCGCAAATATGCTCGAATTATACAAAAGCTCGGTTTTACGGCGAAATTTTTAGATTTTAAAATACAAAATATGGTCGGCAGTTGCGACGTTAAATTTCCAATTCGATTGGAGGGTTTAGTTTTAACACACTCTAAGTTCAGTTCGTATGAGCCAGAATTGTTTCCGGGTCTTATTTATCGTATGGTCAAACCAAGAATTGTGCTGTTGATTTTTGTGTCGGGCAAAGTCGTACTTACCGGTGCCAAAGTTCGTCAAGAAATCTACGATGCATTCGACAACATTTATCCAATTTTGAAGAGCTTCAAGAAACAATAGGAAAAGTAAAGATGACATCGGTGATTTGGTGCGGCTAACATATGACACACACGCAAATAAAACAAAACAAAACAAAACCAAACACATCAACATTTCGATTAGACTAAATAAGGAGGCCCCTTAGCAGTACACACACACGTCGGTCTTTTTTTGACTTAATCATCATTAATTTTTATCTCGTAATGTCGTTTAGTTTAATTAATAAAATTACAAAAACAACAAAAAATGGAATAAATGATTATTTCACGAAGAAAATTCCCATGCAAGAAAAAAAAAACGAACCTAAATTTATAAATTATATTTGATTATTTTTAACCTTTAGTTGAATTCAATAGAAATAATAAAAAAAAACGACCATCATGAACAAAATGAAACAAACGGACTTCTTTTTTATTTCCTGATTTTTCGAACCTGGTAAAAATCAGGTGGACTTTTTATTATTGTTGTTGTTATGAAAGAGAGAGAGAGTAAAATAAATTGAAGCTGAAATAGCGGATGCTGCTACGATGCATTTACAAACATTTCGACATGATGTTGCTCAAACTTTCGAACGCAATCTTCTCCGTGATATTCTTCGTCTTGATGTTTTCGTCTTGTTTTGTGATTAAAATCGTTTCACCTTCATCCTTCCAGCCGTACTTTTTCACCCAGTGATTGAATGCGTTGCCTAGAATTGACAAAAAATGATAGAAGAACATTAGATTGACAAAAAATAGACTTTTCTCCTCCTCATTCAGAACACATACCATTAATATCTCCGAGCAATCGCTTCAAGTAATCGGCCGAGATAGTTTGGAATGTGATATTGACGACATTACAAACGAATTTCCGGATGGAATCGAAGAAACCGTTGACATTCACAATCAAATCGGGTGTCGATAAAATCTTTGACCAGAACAATTCAAAGTCGCATTTCTCCAGAATGTCGGCCAATTCGATGATATCGCTGATGGTTGGATCTTCAACTTGAGCGGGCAACAACAGACACTTGCACAGCGTAAAATCAGTGTGTGGCAAATTGGTGAGTGCTTTGAGCAGGATCAAGTTTGTGATTTCCAAGTTCAAGAGAGTCGGATCGAATTGGTATGATTTCAGCACGGCCAAATTCACTTCCAACTCGTAAGTATTGCCTTTGGCCTGTTCGCGCACATTATTCTCCAATGTTGGCAAATGCTCTGGATTGTATCTAAAACGAGGAAAACACGACATTTTTAGCGAATTCAAGTAAATTTTACATGCAAATTTACAATACGGTATAAATTGTGAGGTTATGATATCAAACATACAGTGCATGCATAAGAAAAACTAGGAATAAATCATGAAAACACTCACCTTTCAATAGATTTAAGGATATCTTGGATTGAAAGCGGACTCTTGTTTGCCATTGTGATTAATTTCTTTTTGAATTCTTGTGTAATTAAACAAATGGAATTGATTGCAAAATTGTATCTGCTAGCAGGAAAGCACACTCACACAATTTCTATGGATATAAAATGGAATTGACGTGGTTTGCTGTCAAACACACACACAAATTCGCTGTCAAATGGCATTCATTTGACACGCGCCAACTTCACAATGATTGCAAACGTTGTTTCTAACGTTTTGGCAACACTGACTGAAATGCTGTGACTTGTTGATTTGCTGAGGGAATAAATTCTGTTGCAATCGAATTGAAAATGAAATAAAATGACGTTTTTTACAAAATCAATTTTTTTTTTATTGATTTTCCATTAGTTCCATAGTTTGAGAGCTTGAAGCGCGTTTGATTCACGCATAAATGACAATTTGTTACATTTCAAAAAGAACAATTGAATCAGATGACCGAACAAATAGTAGGCATCGAATAAAAAAAGTCCATTGATTTTATGATACATGATGTCGATAATTGGTATTGGGTATTGACTATTCGTGGCCGCCTTTCTTCGATTCGTATCCCTTCTTGTGGCCACCTTTTTTTCCACCTTTTTTGTCATATTTGTCATGGTGATCGTGGTGTTTTTCATGACCATGTTTACCTTTATGGCCCTTGTGTTCGTCGTCATAATGTCCCTGGAAAATCGAAAAAAAAAAACGAATTTAGTATAAAAATGGGAATGTTGAAATTTTTCTTCTCTTGCATTCTTCAGAGATAAACCAAAAATAAAATCTATGGTAAAGTATGGCAACAACTGTACATTTTCATACATTTTAGTACAACTAATCAAAATTGCTTACCTTCTTATGGTGGCCTTTCTTGCCTGAAAAAGGGAATTTTTTTTTATTATTAGTCATATTTCAAGAGATATATTCCAAACCCGTCAATTCATATTGAGATGACCTCGTGACGATTTATATCAATATAAAAATTGACAATTCTCTTCAAATTTGCACCGTAAAAAATTCCGAAATTTATCGATTTGTACTCACCTTCGTGTCCCTCATCATAACCTTCTCCCTTCTTCTCGCCTTTCTTGTGTTCGCCCTTTTTAGATTCATGGAACTCATGTTCGCTGCCATATTTCTTGTGATCACCTTTTTTCTCTTCCGAATCCCAGAATTTCTTCTCTTTATGGAAATCATCTTTATTGTGATGCGCTTTGAATCCCGTGGTTTTCGATCCCTTCTTGTGGTACTTCTTATGGCCATGTTTTCCACCTGGTTTTTCAATTACAAAAATATCAGTTGTTTTTTTCTCTAAAAAACACATACAAATCATAATCACTTGCCTTTCGAGCCCTTTTTCTCTTCGTGATGGTCTCCATATTCATCTTCTTCGTCGTGTCCACCTTTCTTCTCGTCATGTTCCTGTTGATAGAAAACAGTTTCCACTTTAGAATTTTTGACTAGAACAAATCGCAATACTCATCCAAATTAAACGAATGAGCGTGGTTATTGGCATATGAAGCACTCTCAGATATAAAACTCATACACTCATACATGGTTCGACAAAACCATCAAGTATATGAGGAAAAAAACGTATTTGGAAAAAAAAACACAGGCTTAAGCTGGCATAACTGTTTTAATATTGTCTGAACAAACCTCGTCGAAGTGATGTTCTTTGTGCTCTTTATCAAAGTGACCCTTTTTGCCTTCATCGTGTTCTTCCTTGAAACGAAAAAAAAATGAAGAAAAAATGATAAAATGTTGAGCAGAGAATATTGGAATTTTGCTTGTATTGCACTTTTCTTCCATATTTCAAGGTAGAAATCTATGATGAAATACGGCAAAAAAAACTGCAATGTTCTGCGACCGCTACGCAAAAATCAATTACTTTTTTGTGATAGCCTTTTTCGCCCTTGTGGCCTTCGTCATCGAAATGATCGCCCTCCTCTTTTTCACCGCCATCTTCTTCAAATCCTTTCTCTTCCTCCTCTTTATGACCTCCTCGAACTACCAATACGGATGCTATTAGTAGCAAAACCATTAGTTGCCATCGTTTCAACCCGATCATTATTCCGGTATCAGACTATTTAATTCACTATAAACACACTTGTGCTATCAAAAACCACGTGGTCCACTTAAATATAATTCCACTTCTAGTCTCATTCAGTTTATGTCTTGTTATTTTTTTCTATCTCCTTTTCACTCAATCAATTTTTGAACTTAACCACAGAAGTAAACGAAAATACACAATTTTACAACTAAAAATATTTCTAACAAAAAAAAAGCCACACACAAAGTTGACGAAAAATACAAATGTTGTCAATACAAAAATCTCAGAATAAATATTCACACAGTCCGAGCATGGTTGATTGTGATTTGAAAATGTGCTCGATTGGTGCGGTGTCTTATGAATTTATAGTAATTGTGCACGAATGCGATGTTTTCGTCGCCGTCAAAACGGTGTGCGTTATATTTGTTGGTGGGAAATTTGAGCGACTATGCTGCTCCACCAGCTCAGACTCTCACACACAATGCGAATCGTTGTCATTGTGACCGATGAAAGAGCGAGAAAAAAACCGCAATGTTGAACTTAAGAAGACAAAAAAAAATCAACAACAACAAATTCAGCAACGGGGCATTAGAATTGTATGTACGAGTGACGAGTGTAATTATTCGTCAGTCGTATTTGTGACATTGTATTCGAAATGCGTAACGGAATGGCGTACGAAGTGTACGTGACCATTTGCCGTTTACAAATCCAAATACGACAATTTAATGTAATGCAAAGTCACCGAGAGAAAAAAAAAACGAATCTGGAAAAATTCATGCTTCAATAGCGTGAATGATGAAAGTGCTACTGCTCGTTTTCTCAGTCTCTGTTTCTATCTCTCTTTTGTGCGTATTACAATTTGAATATCGGCATTTGCCAATTGATTTTTAATTGCACAAAAAAAGAGCTAGATAGATTTCGATGCATAAAATTATGCCTATTGTGAATTGAGTAAAAAAAAAGGCTGAACATGTTATTGTTGTTGTTTTTTCTGGAGTCGATATGGCCGTGTGTCTTGGTTGCCTGTGCCGAAGACCCCGCTATCGCTGCTGTGTTAAATAGACATTGGTCAATAAAATAATTGATTTCGATACAAACGAACTGCCGTCTAATTTAACATTGTAAGAATTTTACGCTATTGAATTTGCACAAGTCCCGTTCGCACTGCTAATGCTCGACCCAGTGCGATCTGAACTTTATTCAATTGATTTTGATGGCCGAAAAAAACTCATTTACTGAAGCTGAAGAGAAAAAAACAAACAAACGTAGGCTCAATCACAATGGAAAACAAGAGAAACATCGAAATCAAGGTGAATTTCATGCATTTCGCCATGTTCAGTACGCGTAGTCGAATGGACTCCATTTCGTTGGCCATATATAGGTGGCTTAGGCCAACCGAAAAAAAAATGAAGAAGAAACAAACATCTCGATTTAATTTAAAGCATACACAAATCTGCTCTAACTCGAAAAAACGATTATATTACTCCGAATAACACACATGCCTGCTGAAAATTGCTGAACCACTTAAATTAAATGGAATTCGGCTCGAGGACAAGTCACAGATATAGATGTTTTAAATGGTTGCAACTTTATTCTTGCAAATTTTTTTCCTTTCTTTCTCGTTACCATTCTGAAGATTTTTAAAGTGCACAATTACAATAAACTATCCAATTGATTAGCTTAATTTCTGGCTTTTGTACTTCAGTGCTGGCCGTACAAAGACAACCGAAGCCTCCGGAAAACGAAGAAAGAACAAAAAAAAACAATTGATGATAAATATAACAACTTAACTAACTAATTAATGCCTTTTTCAGAAACACTTATACTCTGCTGCTCTCTATCCTTTGCTTTATTTTGCTTTATGCTCTTGCATTCGTTGGCTTTAGTTTCTTCTTTTCGTTTTGTTTGTTGTTTTTTTTTTCTCTCGACAAAAATGGAAATATGAAAATATGAACAGGCCGGCTTATGATTTGACCCCTTGTATTCATAACTTAAAATCGCTTAAAAATCTTCTCATTTGGCTTTCACTTGTGCATGCTGAATTTTGTTGAATTGATCTCGATATGTGAATAAATTGCTCGAGAATACTCAGATCACACTATGGCCTATGATTACACCTTTTGTGCAGCACCAGCACCAGCACCGGCCGTAGTATTGCAATAAGATTACATACACCACATAATTCGACTGTTTGGTTTGAAGTTTTTTTTTTCTCTCTTTACCTTCCATCTATATCACAGTCGATACGCACACACCGAGCTTGAACTGATGAATACTTACAAGTTATTATAAGCACTTTAGTAGATAATGGAGATAAGTATTTAAAAATAAACGATTTCTACTAAATTTGTTTTTCTCTCGCATCGGCTTCTTGTAATGATAGCAGCTAAGAAAAAGAAAAGTTTCTTTTCTCCGTCGAAGAGTGCATGCAGAGTAAATTGTCTAAATCAAAGTATAATTGTACTTGAAAGGGGTTTTACAGAAATCATATGACTCTTCTGTGCACGGATAAGGTAGCAGTTGACCTTTTGGAATGGAATGAAACAAGTGAAAGAACGGAATTTTACGATTCCATGTGTATTTTATGCTCGGTGAATTTGATTTGGTTCACTGGAAAAACTTATATTTCTGATCATCGTGAAAAGCATTCACCTGGAACAACTGCTCTGAATTTATGATGATGAATCGAAAGAAGAACAAAAATATGATTCCATTCTATATTCTATATTCTTTATTCAAATCAATGGCATCATTCAGCTCACCATAAATACAATACGAAATCTTTGAATTTGTCTTTCACTCTCTCTCTCTCTCTCTCTCTCTCTCTCTCGCTTGAAATGTTTCGAAAGAAAAATCAGAAATCTGCCTAACGAATATAGAATCAGGAATGAAACTTATTTTTTCAATCATTTTGCGTGGGCATTGAAAAACCGTTTAATTTTTAAAAAAATCCCACAATTGGCCCCGATAAGACAGGAAAATCGGTCCGAAATTTTTATATAACATTCATCGAAGAGGGAAAGTAACGGTGATGCATGAGAATTTGAATTTATAAAACGATCACACCGACAAATAGAACGATTGTCATCGTCGTCGCCGTGTTTCCAACCGAATTGTGTCCATGTGTTTGTGTATATGTTCGATAAAAGAATTTACAAATTGATTACAACTTTGCACATTATGTAATGAAATGATTTTCCGTTTGTCATCCTTCGTTCCCGCGCCTGCGAATGAATCACTGCCTGTCGTTGAGTGAATGGGAAAATACGAATTTCAAACCAACGATTGTAAACGAAAATTCAAGTAGAATTTAATACAGTAGAAGTCATAATATCATATTGATGTAAGCCATGAGACAAAACGTGCATTTACAAAAGGAATAAAGCGAAAGAAAGCAGAAAATAAATTTGTCAGAGCTATATGTATGTATAATTGGAGGGTTATGTATGTAAACACAATGATGACAAAATGTTTGAATACAGCAGAACGAACAAAAAACAACAACAACAACAAAATCCGTAGCCGTCGTGTGTGTATACATTGCACAAGGAAGATTGTTTGTGTCTCTTTTGTGCTGTGTGAGTGATATGAGGAGTGATGGCAAATATGTGTTTGTACGTGTGTTGTTTGTATGTGACAACACACAATACACTCCGCCCATATTTGCTTCCCGATGGAATTCGGAATGGCGCATCAATGTAAATAGAACCGTGTGTTTCGGGTCGTTCGAGTGTGAGCAACGTTTTTTCAACAACAACAACAACAACATCTGCACAAATCTCTGTGCGTGTACCAGCGCAACCGAACCATTGAATGTCACATTCATTGAGATTTACTTGGGGATTTCACACACATCCATTCAGCCACCACAGTCGACGCCACCGTCAACCAACAACAAATATGATTCACGTGACTCTACGTTCCAGCTATTATCGGGCGCTTAGTTATCCAATCTATTGCTTCTCGGAAATTGCTCACTCGTTCTCACTCTCTCTCACCCCGGTTCTCATCGCCGGAACAATAGTACATGTTCTGCGTTTAACATTCGCTATTATGATTTCTTGCATTGTATTATTTTTGTTGCGGAAGAGTCAACCCACACATCGTTTAAATGCTCATTTTTCATCTTCGTTCCACGTATCGATGCCTTTTGTATGCATTGACAATATAGACGTCGATTTACAAATGTTATTCCCCATACGCATACACAATGTGTGCAGAAAGTGTTTTTGTATGGCTTGAAATTATCACATTGGTTTATTATTTAAACGCTCGGTGTGGCTTCTAATGGACAGCGAATGTGACACAAATTTATTATTCTCTATCCCGTTAAATAGATATCAAATTATCACAAATCATTTTATTACATCCCTCCCTCTCTCGCTCGCTCGCTCGCTCAACGCAAACATTTGCGCTTTGATTCTCTAAATTGATGAAATGCAATACTTTGTTGACTTATCTTCCTGATTGAATATATGAGTTGATTTTGATTTACATATTTGTTTTTCTCACTCGAAATATGGCATTTGCTGTTGGATTCAGCGTACGCAACCACACCCCGTGTTTCAATCGCAAACTAAATACGAATGGCAGTGGCGTTTTACCAAACAATTTCATGTTAAATTTCACTCGAAATGTAAATATGAAGAAAAAAAATGCAACCAAAAACCGCTCATGAATGCAACGAGTCCACTGTGGGATTGAGCTCGCATCCAACAACAACCAAGTTCAAATGGTTAAATGATTTTCTTTTCAACGCTTTTCGAGCATTTCCCTTGAAATGCTGATTAAACAATTAGCAGCTGCTTTACAGACAAAATTCATATTTTCAAATCAAACAAAAATTGAAATGAGGATTTGTTTTGAGTGTTGAGAGCTTGGGCTTGGGATTGGGTTTTGAATTTATTCGCTGATTAAATTGAAATAATAACTTGATTCGCTTTGCCACGCAATTTGTCGGCTTTGACGAACAGTCAGCCTCGAAAATGATTTGACCCGCAGAAACTTGGGTAGATTGTTCAAATGGCCCGACCAACGAGTGCTAGATGTTTCCATTTGGACAGAACCACAGTACAACAGAAAAAGAAATTGTTCCTTTCGTGTGTTGATTTATACGAAAAAGATACGTTCATCTGTCGATCAACACAATATCTCCTAAGCAAATACTCAACAATCGAAAAAAGCGAGCCAAAAAAGCAAAATTGACGGAAATGTTCATGAAAAATTCAATTGCATTAATTCACCAATGGGATTTGGATTCTTTCTTTCTTTTCTCGATGGAAAGTGATTTGGTTTGTGGCTATTTGTGTTTTGAATGCGTGTCTCTCTCTTTCCATCATCTGTGAATCGTGATCGAACAACAATGGACAAACTTAGTTAATCGTTTTTGCATTGGCATCGAATAGAGCGAGAGAGAGAGAGAGAGAGAAAAATACACAGTGGTAGCCTTCAAAATACAAATATTTCAAATTCAATAAAAAGTTTTGTTCATATAATACCAATGTAATTCTTCGGTCGGTTTAGAAAGACACAAAATGAGAATGAGCGAGAGAGAGAGAGTGTGGCGACTTTAGTGGCTGTAAAACGTCGAGTCTCAAGTGCAACGTTCGACATCATCGGTTGTGATAACGGGAATCAATTTTCAAATGTAAATAAAGCGAACGTATAGACAAAAGGCTGTGCGAAATAGTTTCGGGTCGAGAAACCCATTTTCCAAACGTCGTCAGTAGTATAAAAATACAACAAAAACAATAGCCACATACAGTAGCAGCAAATTGTTTCGAGCAAAAACGAAGATTGTGAAACAGGCAAAGCGAAAGAGAGTGAGATAGAGAGAAAGCGAAGAACGTGCTAGAAACTTGGAAGTGAATTTTTGTGGTTTAAGACAAACGACAAGAAAACCGAATCGACAAAGAAACAAAGGAAATCGACAAAGACGTTTCGCTTCATTTGTCATTGTTTAGTTAGGACTAAAGTCATCAAATGATTGAATAAAAGTTTATATACGCATGAAAATAATGAGTATCAACAAGGCTTGTGGCTCAACATTGAGGGTTTTTTTTTTGGTTGTGCTGCAAAAGTACATCATCAAATATTTATTTATCAATTTTGGAAATTTGTTCGCGTTGAAATGTTGAGAGAAATGAGAGAACGAGCACACCCATTTGGTTGATGACAGGCTGCTTATTAAACAACGACAATGTCATCCTCTCGCCAACGTACTCGAGACGTTGTTAATTCGTCGATTATTTGGAAATTACATTCATTAGAGCGCCTTAAGATTCTTCGAATCAGATCTCATACGCTCTCACTCTCTCTCTCTCTCTCTCTCTCTCTCTCTCTCTCTCTCTCTGTGTGTGTGTGTAAGGGTTTATTTAGCAAACAATTTTAACTGGAAAACGCTTTTAAATTGCTCGCATTTTTGCGGGTGGTCTTGCAATTCAACACTTCAGCACGAGCTACCAATTTATAATGGATTGCACATGTGCCATGGCAAAAGAGGCTAAGAGAGAGAAAATACCATCCAATTGCAGTAAATATGGAATTTTTCTTGATAAAAACAGCGCTTTTGCCTTGGTACATTACTTTTTGGGTGAAACTCAATTTCGGTGAAAATTGTTGTATTTTCTATAAAAACAGAAAAATCAACTGAATCGCAATTAAAAATTTATTTCTTTTGAATAATAAATTAAATTATGCAAAACCGTATAAAAAGTCGGTGACGCGTGAAAAGAACAAAACAACGTGGAAAAAAAGTTGGTGCAGCACAACAAAAAGTGGTGCGATATTCGCTTGGCAAAAGACATGGCAGCTTCAATTTAATTCAGAATGGAAGCTTCGAAAAAAAAAACTGGTGATTTAATGACGATGGATGGCATGGAACGGATGGATGAAAAAAAAACAACAGCGATGAATTTTAACGTGATAATAATCTCGCTCAAATTCTTTCAATCGAAACGTACACAAAATATGACTCGAGCGTCAGCCGAGAAACAAAAAAGTCATCACATCAACAATATGGAAAAGGTGGCAACTTAACAGAATTCTCCATATAGCTTAAGATTGATGTATGTATATAGCGACGAGAGCGAAGAAAATTGAGACGTAATCACGATTTCACGACTCATTCTCAGGCAACCGGATAATACATACAAATATACTACATAAAACACGTTAAATAACATTAATTTAGATATTATGGAATTAGGCGACGAGCAGCACATAGTAGAACAACGCACGAATCGACGGTCGTCATCGGTGCTGTTGTCGTCGTCGTAGTCGTAGTCTATCGGATTGAATTGTAAATCAGGAAACGCCCCAACACAACGCTATCTCTCGTCACAAGAACCGACAGCTGAATTCCTAAATAATAATGAGAAAATCAAATAGAGAGAACTACGAAGCACCATCATTGACCATTCGAAAAGCTGTACAGTGTTGTATAGTTTTTCCGCTTATTATTCTATTTAGTAAAGACACAACCAATACATTCAGACTGGGTTTGTATGTATGTGCAGTTCAATCTGCTTTTGTGCAAACAACATTTCCGTTTGCATTTTACACAAAAAATCCATCGCTTCTCTATTTATTAATGATAAAACTTGTGTGTACATGGGCTATAAAGCGAAAATCATTTTTAGATCAGCTCTTCTGCTCGGTTCGACGGCTCTATTAGAGATGGTAGGTACTAGAGGGTTGTCGCACACAACACTTAAACAATGACTCGGCATCGAAATAGGTGGAGCTTCCATTCACTCGTTGTGCACACACACACACAATACGTGCGCATGAATACACTTATCCCTGTTGTGTACGCGCACCAACCAAACGGAGCAACAAGGAGAGAAACATTGAACCAGTTTCTAAGGACACATAAGTGTGTGAGTGCACACATTTTCTCAAATCATCATCAGCGCTCAACTCTTCGATGACGATTTTTTTAACTCAACAACTTTCGGGCAGAACGTTGCACATCGTTTAACGATTCGGTCATACAGTTTGAGCTCCAACGACAATCGTTTTATGCTGTCATATTTGTGCGGTTTTTTTTTTCTTGTGAACATCAACTCAATTTGGTTTACTGTGAAATATTTCCGAAGTAAAAGCCGACGTTTTTTGCGTTTGAATAAAAGTTTGACGGTGTTTAATTTTGTTGAGAAAGTTTTATTTAAAAACCAAAGGATTGTGAATTTTCAATTAAATAATCAAAATTAACTCTAGACTATCAATAAGCTGAATTCGGTGTCGCATTTCGGGCTTCTTAAAGAAGCCAATTTAACGCCGCCAGTTTCGCCGGCGTCGTCAGTCACATCGATCCCGCAAATGGTCGAAACTAATAATTCACATCAAATGACCATTAGAAGCGCTCATCACGTGAATCAAGCTTATTTAACCACCACTGCCATGCTTCTCGGTACACAAAATAACTACCAACGATTGAACCTACACGAACACATTGCCGACAATGATTTGGTTTTAAATGCAAGTGTGCAACCGAATTCTTCGAAACACGAAAAAGAAACGCCACGAAAAGAGGAAATGAAAATTCGCGATTGTAACAGTGGTTCGATGCCAACATCAACATTCACGATCGATAGCATTTTGGCATCATCGAAACCAGTCGATATCAAATTTGAATATAATTCGAAATCAGACAGCCGATCGCCGAGTAATTCACCGTCGCTCAGCACAACATCGAGTCCAGTTCGGCCGACAAGGGTGCCAGCTATGCTACATCCCGGATTACATTTATCACATTTGGCGGCCGCTGCCGCCACTGGCTTTGGTACACCCTCCGATTTTCTTGGTAAGTGTGAAATATCTTCTATAAACAATTTCATTTTTAGAATTGAAATTTCTCTTCGCTTCCAACATTTTTCTGCCCAGTCTTTTTTTTCAATTCTTCGAGTTTCTATTTTCTGAATCTCTCATCGAATTGTTTTTATTTTCAATTCAGCTTCATCGCTCCATAAATAAAATGGGTAAAAGTTTAATGTCATGTCTCGATTGAATATGTCCATTATTTGTATATGGTGTATCGTTTAGCTCTTGAAATAGAAAAATTCAATTTTTTTCTTCCATCAAGTGAAATGATAACAAAAAAATCCATAAAGAAAACAAATTCGGCCTCTTGTTAGCATCCCACACACATCGGGTGCGGTGAGCTACCGTTCAGCGCAATCGGGTCTGGCTCTGAATCGAAGTCCATGGCGAACGAACGCATGGAACAAAAAAACCAATAAAATAAATAAACATTTTGAAAATAATATCGAAAAGGATAAGCACAATAGCAAACGGCAAGATGCAATGTGATGAGAAGTGAAACATAGAAAAATCCGTTGAAAAAAAAAGAAGAAAAACAAACCTTTAGGACATGCTTAGGCTAGCGACGGCAGATTGAAAGTACACACACACTGAATTTTTAGTGAACTTGAAAATTTGAAAATCAAAGATGTTTACATTTTTCATTTTCGTCTTTTGCCCACGCCATCTAAACCGTACGCCAAAGAAACGAATTTGTTCACCGGTGAGAGAGAGAGAGAGAGTGCGACGAACCGATTCGAGCCTGAGCATACATCGAGTGTATGCATCAGGGAGCTTAGGCACCATTGATAGCGGTTAAGAAGAAAATAGCCGCAAGTCATACTCGCTCATTCTTGCAATATATACGCACACATAATAAAAGTATTTATTACTTAAAAGCAATGCATGAAAAAAAAAGGTAAAACCATTCAACGTCGCATATTGTTCCATACATCACCACCACTGCCACCATCGCCAACTTCTCCGAATACTACGAAAATCCCAATAAATTATTGATAAATACACATCAAATGCGTCAATATATTCGATAATACCTCTTATCGGTTGGTTACCTGGAGGACATTTAATTTTCTTCGTTATGCTCATGCTTCAACTCGATGTTTGTTTATTCGAAGCTTTAGTCTTATTATTAAATCAAAACGCACACATTTTGTTCGGGATTTATTCTATTAATTTTCCATTGTTTTGTTTTGCGAACGCTCCTATGCTTCTGCTGATGCCACTGATGCTGTCACTAGCTAAGGTGGTCGACGATGAAAAAAAAATACAATGTTTTCTTTTCACAATGAAAGAATCACACGCAAACATTCATAATTCGTTTTAAACGAGATCCACAAATATGACGTGCAAATACTCTAACATCTTGAATTGACCTTGTGTGATTTCGTTAATGCTTTTATATCATTTACTTCTGCGGCATGCATTGTGTTTGCGGTGGAGACTGGGAGACTTTTGTGATTTGTGAATTTCGAATGTCAGCCGGATGACAAGGATTCTTGCCGCTTCATTGGACACATTTTCTCTTCTCTTCAATGGATAAATTCGTACTAATGTTTAGGCATTCATTCATTTGAACGAGGAGCAGCAATGTTTGCGGCCGCCAGAAATTTGCAAATTCCACATTGAAAAAAATTCAAATCTCATATTCGAAGCAGCATTATTACTTCAGGTCTGTCGATTATTTTGATGGTGCAGAATGAAATTCTCGTGCCAAAAGCAATCACATTTCATGAGAAATCCTCCATTTTTCCCACCTTCATCGCCTACTTAACATATTACAAATGAAATATAAATACATTTACAATACAACAAAATCGCAGATCTGATAAACATCGGCATTTTTTCACACTCCGATAACATTTTTTTTTCTCGATACATATTGTGAATTTTTTTCGATGAAAAAAAAAAACGTGGCGAGGGCAACGGAGAACAGCAGGAGAAAAAAAAATGCGAGCACACACACACAAATGGAAATATTATGCGGCAAAATCGGTTGAACTCATTTTTCCGCAGATTAAATTTTTACGCTGTCACGATTACACACCACCACTCATTTATCCGCTCTCATTCGTTCACTCGCTCGGTTCACGTGTAGCTCAACAATGAAAGAAAATATCGAATCCATATTCATACATCATCCATTTACATAAATGGTACTTTTTTTTTTTATTCTTGACTCCATCTTCTTCGCCGTATTTTTCTTTCGTTTCATTTCGTTGTTTCCTGATTTTTAAATGTACTTCTTTTCAACACGCGGCGGCGTTCGAATTACCTTCGAGGAGTGGCGGTGGTGGTGAAAAAAATAAACGAAATCACAACGTAAGAGAATAAGTACCTAAGCCGCCCACGTCTTTATATTCTAAACATGTTTGTTTGTTATTCTTTTTCTTTTTATTTTCGTTTTTTTTTTTTGCTCTCGCATTAAAATATGATGCCTTGTCAACTAAACAACCTCTTATCCGTTTTGGGTATTTTTATCTTGAGCATACTGCCTCACCTCATATTAATTATTATCAACCGCGGGAAAAACGTATTTTTATAGTGCTAATCCGATGGTGATTTGTAAGAAGAAAAAAAAAGTCATCAACGTTTTATCCATCTGGGATGAAATTTTTGTGCACAGTAATTTACTTGTCTCTGGAGAAAACACCGATCAAAAAACGCAGTACGAATGGACTGCATGATGGTTGACGTAAATTCCCTTTGGATAAATGATACAAGATTTCAAAGGGAGAAATTATGCCAGAAAACTGCCATCATTATATTGTTATTCAAATCTCAACAAGCAAATGTTTGCATTTTCTTGCGAGCAAATCGTTTTCTCTATGCTGAGTAGAATGAAGATTAGCACGTGATCGCCTTTGCCATGGCATTTGCAATTTAGGAAGAAAAAAGAACACAAATTGAATGAAGCCATAAATGTGTTGAGCGAGTTTTTTTTGTCGCGCATTCAATTCATTTTCAGATTGTTTATGAGATTTTCCATGCGATTCAAATTTCGTTTAACGCGCACTCGCGCACGCTTTCAGAAAAATCAGTTACAATCAGGTTTTGTCAAATGGCCAAATAACAAGAAAAAAACATATGCTGAACAGTGAACACAATAAAAATCTCTGACGAGAAAAGAAAAACGCGCGTAAGGAAAATTTCCTTGGAAATGAAGTGAAGCCACAGAAATTCGTCAACTTGAATTTAATTTTTTTTTTTCTCTTGCCTCTCCAATTTAAATTCGTTGACGTTATAGAAATCACCGATGATGAATATATGTGTGCGATGCGATGCGATGGTGACGAATGCGCGCATTTTAATTTAATTTTCTTTTCTTGATTCGATTAAAAATGAAAACGCATTTTTATGTATGCATTGAACTTTTTTTTGTCGACATGATTCGTATAAATTGTTTCTTCGACGGCAACGACACACATACACAGCGAACTGAGCGATTGAGCTAATGACAATATCGTTTAATCAAATTGCACGCACTCGAACATAGGAATTTAGTGAAACCAATCAAATGAAATTTGAAAACAAGAACGAGGCGAAGAATGAGCGAACGAAGGAACGAACGAAGAAAAAACGCACAAATATTTCTTTAACCGAATTATATATTTAAAGGATTTTTCGGTTTACAATTCATTGAACTTTTGTTCTGGACACACACATTTTCTGCCGACATTTTTCACTCGAATTTCATACATTTTCAATGCAGAAATTAATTTGATTTTGATTCGCTGACCCAATTCTTCTTCTTTTTTGCCTAATACGAACAATTTTTGCAGCTGTTTCATTCCGAATTGGGTTCAATCCATAGAATAATTTATACACATTTGCAATTATAATGGAAATTTGTGGAATTTTTCCGCCTCGAAAGAGTTTCGTTCTATTCTCATCATTTTTACATATTTTTTGAAAAAAAAAATCATCATAATTTGCAATTAAAATAGCTCTTTTTATATTCTAGTTGCAGCTTATCCAAATTTCTATCCACAATACATGCACGCAGCGGCAGTGGCTCATGTAGCTGCTGCAGCTCAAATGCAAGCTCACACAACACACGCTTCGCTATCACATCACCACAGCGGGCATTTGGGCCATGGACCACCGCCAAAACGGAAGCGTCGTCATCGCACCATTTTCACGGAGGAGCAACTCGAACAACTTGAGGCGACATTTGGTATGCATTTCTTGAATTTCATCATTCCACACATTTCTTCATGCTCGATCTTTTTCGATATTTTACATTTTTTTTATTTCCATAGACAAAACCCACTACCCTGATGTGGTGCTACGCGAACAATTAGCACTGAAAGTTGACCTGAAAGAAGAACGTGTAGAGGTAAATATCCATTTCCATGAAAATTCGTAGTTTTAGTGCTGAGCCAACAGTGTTGACTTATTTTTGTTTACGACTCTTTTGTTGCACACACACACAAAGCGCCCATTGTCGCCCTGGATTAAGATAGAGAGAGAGAGAGAGAGAGAGAGAGAGAGAAAGAGGCAAAGAGCCATTAAATTAATTTGTACATTTTCACACCGCATATAGACGATGTTAACAATCCACTAATTTTCCACAAACATCAAATCTTGAATATTGAATTACCATTTGTGTAGTAATCTTTCCCTCGTTCACTCTCTCTCTATCTCGATTTGAGCAATCAACAAATGACAAGGCAATGCCATACCGGATTCGAATGGCATCATCATCATAAACTCTCTGACTTTCATCATCTAACGCCGACGACTTTGAAATTGATTCGAAATGCATTGCACAAACATTGACTTAATATGGTTTCCGTTTCCAACCCTCACTCAACTAAGCACTTGCTATTTGCAATGCCACTCACTCTTTAATGCATAATCTCGAAGTAATGCTTCGAACTATACGCAAATGTCAATGGATTTGTGTCGACCAACCGTTTGTACCACTCACACATACACACATAGCTCGTGATAAAATCTCAACAATCTGTCGGATTTGAAAAACGCTTCCAACAACAGAGCAAGAACGTATGTTAATACACAATGTGTTGTGTGCCAATTTGAGAAAATTAAAATTGAGGAAATTCTATTCTTTTTGATCTTTGGCTAATCCTTTCCTTGCCAGCATATCGCGCGCTCACCCTGTGTGCATTATGATATGCTGAAATAAGTGGTTTCGCGCGTCGGACCTGGTGTCGATTTAATTGGCATGGTGACAAAGAGCATTATGACGGCCTCATTTTTCGCTTTGAATTCATTCGCCAGATCGCTTTGAATTAAAATGTTCTCACTGATAAGCATCTACAGATAATGGCCGTGCATTTTGGTTTGAATATTTAATGCGTTGTTTGTGTGAACACATTTCTGGTATTAAATCCAAACAAACGCTTGCGGCAATGATTTCACACAGCAACTCTTAAGCAAATCACTTTGAGATTGGTGTATTACTTAAATAAATTTGAATGCATTAAAACTGTTGAGTGAAACACCAAAAAAGACTCTATCTGAATGGTCGTCATAATAAAATATTGATTCAGTGAATTCTTCGTCACAATTGGACTCTGACGAAATGCACACAAGAATAAATGACAAATTCTTCATCCATGAAATGTGTGTGTGTACACATTCCTCATTGTAAAATACACAGAACCGATGAACAACAAATATCGAATGATGTGAAACAAAAAAATTCGTTCAAAAATGTCATCGAAGTTGTCCATGTTGTTAAAACGTACAACGGATTAGAAGAAAAACCATCGAAAACTCAACAATCGATCCAGGCTTGGACCAGGTATAATTTATCGGTTAAAATGCAGAAAATTATTTTGTGACAGCCACTTGGCTACTGTGTTTACACACGCACAGCTTCCTCTATCGACAAATGCTACTCAACTAAATTCCATAATTATGTCTTATTTTCAGTTGAAGAACTCATTCAACTTTAGAATATCTTTGACTTATTGACGATAAATAAACAAAACACCAAACGACAACATCGTTGTCGACGACGGACGAGAAGACACACTCGCCCGTAGACGACCACAAAGTAAATAGCCATTTTTCGCTGCATCATTGTACAATATGCTATTTACCCAATCCTTCGTTCAAGAGGTTTAAGATTCACTTTTTCCAAACCAATACGCTATGCCATAGCATGACTAATAGGCTCAAGTGGTTGACTCTCTTTTTCTCGTTCAGGTGGGCATTTCTCGATTAGCGAGAGACGAAAATTTTATCATGCACATATACACAATTTTTTGTTTTCATCTTGTGTGTAGGTGGGCCTTTTCCGCTTTGGTCAACTTGAAATCAAGAGACAACTGAATTCCATCTGCAAATGGATTTGCTTGGGTTTCGTGTTGGTGGCCTGTCGACGACAGAGAAAAAATAAAAGCAGCGGAAAAAGTTTATGAGCTGATTTGAATTTCAGAGAATCATTGCTTAAGAATTCAAAAGTTTTTCTGTTGATTTTAATTCGAAAAGAAAAAAATCGGTTGATTTCAATTCCAGAAGAACTTTGACTGTGATTTAATTCGAACGGAATTTCGATCATCAATTCGCAAAATTGTCTCTGAATCTCAGAATGAACTTCAATCTTGATCTCAAGCTAACAAAATTTCAATCTCAATGCCAATTGACATTGTTATTGTAAATCTTTGTTGAATGAGCGTAAAAAGTACTTTTAAACAGATTGAAATGCACACAATGATTTTATTACTTTTGTAAGAAAATTGTTTCCGACAAAAACAAAACATTGAAAATAATTCAATAATGTGATTTGAATTCATCTGCTTTGCGCTGTTCATTTGCGAAATGATACAAGTGGAAAGACCCTTTATTAAAGACAATTCGGATTGTTATGATTTCTTGCCAAACATTTCTGCTCTTTTTTTCTATTTACATTTCTATTGGAATTTACTCCATCTGTGCGCTGTTGTATCAATATCTGGCGCAATTGAGTTTGATGAGCAGAGTTGAGATTTTCATCATTATTTGTATTGTTCAACATAATTTAACAAGAATAACAACAAAATAGAAAAGTTCCCAAAGCATCCATTTAAAATGCATGAATATTCGACAAATCAAAGCAAACAGCCGAACGAAAGCGAGAGAGAATGAGTGAGATAGACGGCGAACCCCACGAATGTGCGCACACAAAATGAACAAAATAATACGCCCTGTGTCGCAAATTCAAGTGAGCGAGTTAATTCATCATGCAGCAACTTTATAAAATATTTATTGTCATTTTCTCTTTCTCTCTCTCTCTCTCTCTCTCTGCTCTGCCTCTGCCTCTGTCTCTCTGGCATTGTCTATTTTTCCGAAACGGTATTTTCATTATTTTCCAATTGAATTTCGCTCCATTAAAATTTGATGTTATTTACATTTTTATTATTTTAACAGATAATAATAAACAGAGGCAAAAATCCATTTTCATAACCGTTAAATTGCAATTGAATTGGGCTGATGACACCGGGCTTTCGTTCTCTTTTTTTTCTCTTGTTTGAATGCGGTGTGGTCACAAGCCACGTTGATTGGGCAAAACAGAGGGAGATGTAGTGTGAGGATGCACGCACTCAAGAGGCGACAGACGGAATCAAGTGTAGTGAGAGAAAATGTGTGTGTTTTTGTCATTGAGTGGTTTTATTTCGTCTTCTTTGCTGGGTTAACCATAGCCATTGGGATTGTTGTTTGACATTTTCATCAAAATTCGGTATCCCTCTACGGTCTGCTCGCCTATTAAGCTGCAAATATATCTTTTGCCAACGCAACCACATCTCCTCGTTTTTCTAGTGTCTTATGCGGTTCAAGTGCTTCCCTTTTCATTATTTGGCATTTCTCTGTTTCTCTCCCCTCTTCCAGAGATTGCTTATACAATATGCTTATTTTAAGCTTTGCGCATTTACAAATCGATGCTACCACCCCAATTGTGCCTCATTCTGTTTGTACGTTGTAATGTTATTTTTGTTGTTGTTTTTTTAGGATAAGTTTAATTAATTGACACTTAATTACATTGTTAAATATTAACCGGGAGCTCACAGAGAGAAATGCCGAATTCTCGCAGCTACTGTGTTATGATTTTCTGTAGCCTTGGGTGACACATTCAATTTCGTATTTCAACGACGACAGGTTGAAAACCATGTATCAAACTGAAAGGAAAATATTTGTCTTTTTGAATTATAAATTCGGCTATTGATTGATTATGGAAAAATCCGCTCTTCATGTTTTAATTATAATCATTGTCGTCGTCGTCGTCGTCATTGCCGTCGTTGTCGTCGTTACCACGTTTTTCGGACTGATTTATGGTTTATGCAAAATATGTGTATACATATTGCTTTAAGCTTATTTATTTATTAATCCATTGTTTGATATATCGATAGAGGACGAATAAAAAAAACACACAAATGATGATGTTCACGTGTGTGCACGAGCTGCGCTTAAATTTAATTTTAATATTCAATTATACAACAAAAATATTCAGCGGCGGGGTTAACAGTTTATCAGCACCCAATCACACAGTTGGTGCATCGAGTGCACAGTGCACACACACACGCGTTCGAACACGAACATTTAAATTAAAATCGTACAATCGATGCATATCAGCATTATGTACCTACAGCAGCCACAATCCAGTTAATTGTTAGCATTGTGTGTGTTTGTGTGGGTCGCCAAGTGGTGTTATAAAAAGCAATGCAATGATTTTTCCATGAAAAATTACCCAAGCTGAATTCAGCCGAATGGAAGCAAATAGCTGCTGCTACTCCAACTCTCCTGCACTACGTACTGGCTATACACGGTAAAAAAAAGTGCCTGCTAGGCAATAATGAGCGCAAACAAAATGTACACGATATTGTTTTAAAATCCTTTTGCAACTTTAATATATTTTGTAAACACACGCAAAAACCATAACAACGAACCACGAAACATCGAACCAATTTTTTCCTACTTTTTCGTCTCTTTCGGCCGGATCACCCTCGCCGCATTGTTTCCGCAGCAAAATCGAGATCGAACGAGAGAGTTTAGTGCGTATCGAATCGCATCGTACACAAACTTTAGCATAAAATTGGATGCAGCTCCTGCTTGTATGTATTTCACCATGAAAATTCAATTATAACTTGATACTATGTTTTCGATGCACGAGCTCACAACTAGAAAAACACAAAGAACTCGCGAGAGCGCTATTCAAATATTAGCATCGGTCGGAGAGTAGAAGCAAAATGGGGAAAAAAAATCAAACCGCAAAAGTTTCACCGCAAAATGTTCTGCATCGCTGTGGAAACCGATTTTTGGCTCAGTGAAAATAAATATTAAATGTTCGATTGGTGCGATGAATTTTTCCGCTGAAATTTGCCATCGATCGCTCTTTGGAATTGCATTTTTGAAAATTTTGTGTGCAGTCAGTCGCCCATGACCCAATTCAACCGCATGGAAATTATGAGCAAATTTTTCAAGCGCTTTTCGAAAATGGACAATTCGGAAAATTCGACATTTATTCGACGAGGCAAGCGCGTTTATGCGTTTACTAATGTTACCCAAGGCATTTTTTTGATGCTTATGCAAATTACACTAGAAATCCGCTCAGCTCAGCTTCTTTGTGCACTCACACGCAATCATACACACGCAATCATACACACACACACGTTTCGAGTACGTTTATTGAATTCAACAGCAATGAAAACACCTTTCGTCTATGAACACATTAATTTTTGCGGGCGATGCAAACACTCAGGGCCATCAACCATCAGCACATATGCACACCGTTGCAGAGAAAGGAATGTGTATTGATTTCATCTTGAATTCAATTCAAGAGCATCGAATTAGGGGAGTGATGAACTCGGTCTAATGCAACACATTAAAATTCACTCAAGGGAAATGAACAGATTTACTCGAATTTGTTTTTTCTACTTTCTAAAGGGTATAGCAGATTTTTATGCTGGATTTGCTTCGAGCATTTTTCGGATTCAGAACAAATTCCCATTGAAACAAAAAAAAACAACAAACATTTTATTCGACCAATTCACATAATTTTCCCTCTTAGGCACTTCAATTCATTCAGAAATTGGTTATTACAAAGAAAATTCAATGATTGAATTTAATCTTGACAAAACCAAATTTATCACTGTTCCTTGTAGATGTGTTTTTGTACCACTTTCCATTTTTCACTCATAAAAATTTGAATTTCTGCATTTCAAACTTTCATTAAAATTAGAAACTTCATATTTGATTGACATTGGTTTCATAGCAAAATCGAAGAAATTTGAAGATAAAAAACAGAGATAAATGGTATGCCGCCGAAAAGTCTGTTTTGTACAAACTCGAGTAATATCAAACATAAATGGAATACCTGGGAATTAAAGGATATCTGTTGCAAAAATAAGTTTATTCGAAAATCATGTCGAATCTTCATTTTTATTATCTTCTTTATGGTTTCATGAGAAAAAATCGGTGTTTTAAATGTTTATTTGGACACCGATTAAAAAAAAAATCATTCTTCCAATTTCAACAACAAAAAAACGAGCAATTTCAAACTAGTTCACATTGACCGATCTTTTTGGTACGTTCCATTGAAGCATGCGCTCGATAATCTTTGGCAATTGTTATGTGTTTCGGTGTGCAAACAATTGGCTTTATGCGGATTAAAATGTGTTCGGTGCATCTTTGAAGTTAGTTAAAAAAAAAGACCAACCAAGAGAGCGGCCCAGATCAAACAAGAGAAAATCAGTTAGTTGGCAATTAAATGGAGGTGTTTGAGTGTACACTTGGGCTACTGTTTGCGCCAATTCGATTGGAAGTTAAAAAGACTCCGAATGCCATCGATGCCATTCAAAGCGCATTCAGTTTTGCTCACAGCACACACACACACACAAATGAAGATGCAAAATATTGAAAACTTTTCAATTGTTCAATGATAACTATCTTATTTCATCCAGTGCACACGATTGATTCCACATAAATGTGGGTGTAATTGTTTGCAAGAGAAAAAAGAGAACATTCTAGTGATGTGTTCGAGTGAATTCATTTCTGGAATTTATTATTCATGACAAGGCATCAAAGAGTCCATCCGACAAAACGGCGAACAATCACCACACCATCGCTTCACTGTAATCAATTAATTGTTTGAGTGATTGGATTGAATTTCGGAAAATTCGAAATGAAAAGCCATCCCCTCTCTCTCTCTCTCTTTCTCACATAATAATTCACATTCATAAAATTCGGCGAAGATGTATCACGCATTTACGTTGAATTTGCATTACGAATGGAAAGTTCTGTGATTCGAAACCGTTACAAATATTGTTATTTTCGGTATTCGATTTCCTTTTCTCTTACCAATTGGTTACTCGATTCCGCCCGAAATATTTACCGAACAACAAAGTTTTGTTGTATAAACTTTGTTTCTTGTTGATTATTCTTCATCATTGAGTTTGTGTGTATGGCTTCATTATCACGTTATTAGGAAATCGGCACATTGGTCGATTTTTAAAGCATCAAACCAAATTGATAACTGGATCAATATTTTTTTTTAAATCAAGTCACACGGTTGAGCTATCGTCTAAATCTGTCGGCCCATTCTCATGTTTGACGGAATTTTCCCGACGTCATCACCCAATCACTTTGATTACATGATTTGTAACCATTTCAACAACATGATTTCAAAGCAATTGTGTGAATTAATTCATTTTCCTCTCATTCGAATGATGCTTATTGATTAACACCCAAACAAAAACTGTCGGTTGCCTAGTTTTCTTCCTAGGACAGCGTCAATCTTTTGATTTATTTTTTTTCCGCTAAAAAATGTTTTTATGTAAAGTTGGAAAATTCTCCACAAAAAGCCCAATTACCGCTTCGTCATAATCCGTTTTCGTTGAAGTGAAATCAGCTGCCAGTTTATATTTCGTCAAAAACGTGATCACACATACACACAGCGACAAGCATATTCAATTTTAAAATATGGAAACAACACTCAAAGCTAATTGGTGATGTCCTTTGAAGTTGTTTGATGAAGAAAAAAGTCATGAAGCTCGTTATTTCAATTTTATTCGATATTTTTTTTCCTGAACTCCTTCTGTACCAATTGAAACAATGTTGAATTTTAATTCTAACCCTCCGCATTCACCATGGCTACCGCATCGTCATTCGCATCATCGCCCAAAAGATCATAATCAAAAAGCGTATTCATCGTTTCAATCTTTCGGTTGGCTTACTAAAATGCGAAATGTGTCAAATCATATTATTTAAATTCGATTTGACAGTTATTTGCAAGATGCATATTCCTGTGAAAATGGGAAAGTGGTTCAACGAATTACACCCAGCTAAGTTGACAGCTTTTTTTTTTTAATAAACTCTTTTCTTTTGCATTTGGTCTAAATAAAATTGGCATATTGAATGGTTGGGTGTAATCCGCCTTCACATTGCTCCCATTCAAATTGCATTCCAATTATCATGCCATTCGTCATTTCATGCCGTTTCCTTCGGTGCTCGCAGCACGTACAATTTCGTCAAGAAGTTGCCAGCTTGAACTGAGCAACGTTGATCGTTTGCGGCGGCATTTTAAGTTGTATGTTCACGAAAAAATTGGTTTCTTTATTCCATAATTGTTCTATTGTGTTGCGGCAATGTAGAACAAAATGCCCGACAATAGCGCACATTCACCTGGAGTTTATGTTTTTTTTTTCCTTCTGTATAAAAAATCACAAAACAAACATCACAGAAGAAAAGAGAAAAAATAACATGGATCAGTATGAAGAAAGAAAAAAACACAACAAGTAAAAAAGAGAATTGACACACAGAGCGAAAAAAAAATGAAAGAAATAAAATCACAGCACATTGTTGTCGCATTCGTGTAATCAATCCACCCCGAATATAATGAGGATAGGCTCTCGACAAATTGAAACCAATATTTTGGAAAACAACAAATGCCAACCAGCCCAGGAGTTGCCAAAATTGAGTGAGTGTGTGTGTGTGTGCACGTATGGGCACGTATCGTGTGAGTTCCTTTTCAGTTTTGGCATTTTGTGACAGTTTTTCTCAAGTGAACGACATCACAGTACTCATTCACTCAAACGTTGCACAAAGCAAAAGCAGAAAATGGCTGTAGAACGAAGGGCAAATTGATATCTTTAATCCTTTTATGTTGTTTTTCTTGTTTGGCTGTGTGTGTGTGTCAAACGACAGTTTTTCCTCTGTTGTTGTATTGTGTGCAATGCACATTGTATGTATAATGCATATATGCCCCATATATGCATTGTGCATCGACAAAAAAATGATGCTACAGTTTCTAAGGACTAACAAAAATAAATACTACAAACCGTCTGAATAATGGGCAACTTGTAAAATCATTAAAAAATTATTATCCTCATTTTAAGAGGATTCGACCATGTAATAATCATATTTTTTTTTGTCTCTTGGCTTTTGGTTTCGTTGTTGTGTTTGTGTGCGTGAAAAATGTCATGACTCTCTTCCTCTGCCTGCTCCGAGCAGACTGCTCTCAATATCTCACGTAAACAATACGAATATTAAAATATTAATTTTCTTCAGGTGATTTATTACATTAACCGTTTTAGTTGTTAAGCGACGCTTGTTAAAGCGAACCAACAAAAAAAAAAACAAATTATTTATTTGGTGTTCTTTGTCTTTTTGTTCCTTTTTTTCTTCTCTTTCGCCAGGTTTGGTTTAAGAATCGCCGTGCCAAATTCCGTAAGAACAAACGAGAGGAAAACGAACGGCTTAGAAAATTACAAGAGGATCATTTAAATAATGGTTCGTTAAAATGCAATTTAAATGAATCCACCACATCGTTCAATGGCATGACCGTAGGCAGTGCTGGCAACAATAACATTCCGAAAAGCGCACTCGCACACTCCAATCTCATGTACACGTACAGTGACGCCGACGACTCATCATCCGATTTGGAAGTTGCATGAAACCACACTTCGACGCCGTCGCCACCCCCTTCGTTTCCACATTAGACGAATTTTTCCTTTTTTCAAAGCGCGCATCATTAGCATTTTAGGACATATTTTTTATTTGTGCATATCTATGCTATCTCTGCACCTAAGCCAATTGTGTATAAGTTAACTAATAATAATAATAGTAGCGACTCAAAATTCCAGTGCTAATCATCAATACAAATGTCTTTGACGATACAAATGTGTTTTTCATTCTCATTGCACATTCACGAATATATTGTACATATAAATTCCAAACTCTTTTTTTTTCTCGATAGAATTTGAATTTAACCTTCAACCGACGATTCACTATGAACTCAGTTTCAATTAATTTTCAATGGAAAAAATTCTTTACAATTTCTCATATCGCAAACAATAGCTCGGGTGAAATTAGCATTTTATTCATTTATTGTGATTTAGTGTTTATTTTGACATAGTTTTTTAAATTTAATTTAGAGTATAAATCTAAGATGTATAATGTAGACATGGACATTGGTCTCTCCCAAAATGCAACAATTATTTTATCGAAACCAATCGCTATCAAAATGTAAATCCGTTCTTGCACAACCATTTATGTAATATCTCCATTGTCTTAAGTAAATAAAATAATTTCAATAAAAATGTATTATCGTTAGAAAATTCAAAAGATGTGTTTATTTTTCTGTCAAATCTTTGAAATAGATCTCGTTTTGCGCATTTTTTTTTTTTTGAGGAAAAAATCATTTTCCAAATGATGAAGCAGTTTCCAAAGCAATAATTTTTCTACAATTTCGAAGCAGCATACTCCACAAGTCTACTTACAGAAATTTCACACTAGCAAAACAATGGAACAACTCTACTCGTTTGGTTTTCTTCGCTCGGAATTGCTTATTGCACCACTTTATCTTCTATATAGCCAAGCTTATCGATTGAACAACTAAAACCTATATACTAGTTGAACTCTGATTTTACATAAGGTAAAAGATACATACCGAAGGCAAGTGATGATATCATTTCGAATGCTCGTTTGTTAGCTCATGTTATACCGAACATTTCTTGGTGTATGCATGCCTGGATCTTCTGGCAAGAATTTTGGAAAACTTATAACTAAATTTTAAGATGAACGGTAATTGGAAAAGTGTTTAATGAGTTGATCGAAGTTTTATGCAGCATTCTTCATATCATAACTTTTTGATGCAATCACACCATTCCGCAATCGAAATTCTTCATATTTGAGTGTATCATATCTTATTTCACGGTTTGGCATACATTGGAAGAAATTACGAAAGACAAAACTTGTGCCAAATGCGAATTTGGACAATGAAGCAAATAAAAATTGGAATGAAACTTGTGAATAAAAGTAAAAAAACTCAACATTTTCGACGCACGAAACATGAAAAATCTATATATTTCAAAGGGAATTTTCCCAATTCAAAAATCTCTGTACAAGTCGGCACTCAACAAATCTGCTTCTAAATTATGATTGTAATTCAATCCAAAAACGGCATGAAACAATGTACTTCTGCTGAGCGAAAGCGATTTGATTTGTGTCTGTCTATCTGAAATGTTTGCACAATTGCATTTTATGTATACTATGAAAACTAGGCAATTGTTTATAAATCAATGAACCGTGTATGAATTAGCTTTTTGTGTGCGAACTTTTCCAAAACTATGTATATGCTATGGCGTGCACGTCGAATGGATCATAATACCGTAGTGAATAGTTACACAAAGGCTGAATTAAATTCATAATGTGAAATATTTTAATCCAAGCGTGATTGAATGTGTAAACATGAGGCGATGTTCAGCATATCATTTACGAATACGCATTTTGTGAAATTATTCTAATGCAGCGATCAAGCGATTTGTTTGCTCTGAAGCGAACATTTATGCCGAGTTGGTTATTCGATGGATTTGTTTTTATTTTAGAATGGTTTAACGGGGATGACTAGTTAGTGTGCAAGTGTGTGTGTGTGTGTGTGTGAGAGAGAGAGAGAGTGAGAGGAAAAAAGCGAGCGATAAAAGTTTTAGCAGCGTATTGCACTAAAGACTTAAGTATTTATCCATGTAGGTAATGTTGTGGCTCATACCCTCGATCCGGATATATTTAACTATATAAATGTGGATTATCACGTTAATTTGATTTTTCCCATTCACATTACGGGTAGCTCATAGAGAGCTATGGCCGCGCCAGCTAATAATACGACATTTCAATCAACGAACGATCGATGTGAACGTGTGAGCGTGTGTGTGAGTGTGAGTGCGGTTCCGGAATCCCTTGCAACGGAAGCAAATATAAACATGTACAACTAGCATGGGTTTAAGGGCTAGAAAATTGAGGCAACCAATTGAAAATCACATTTGATATGATTTGTCAAAAACACGCAGCTGTTTGGAACGATTTTTTTTCCTTTTCTACGGCCATGTACGAACAGAACGAGATGTGGATTAGTCGGGTGAAAATTGTGTTCACATGGAATTGCCAAAATGTCCGCTGAAAATTTGATTAAGGGATGAGCGTTGAACATATGCTCGGATCATAGGAAAAGAAATTAATATTCATAATGCTTTACAATTTACAGAAACTAAGCACTTTTTTGTAATTGCTTCAATCAGCTAGTGACTCGCCCAAATTTGCCGTAAATCAATTACTCGTTTTTAATTTTAGATCAACCATTCTTACTTACTCAAAAAGTCAACTGTATAACTTAACATGTTTATTTTCTTTCGTTCAATTCTTGCATACGTATAAAGATATTTGTCAAATAAAGGCAAGTCCGTGTGGATGTCTAAATTGCGGATAATTGATTCATGTGTGCACATATGATGGCAATTTGCTCGTAATTTAAAGGTAAATCGATGTCACATACGCTACGCTTGTTGTTCTGACACCTAATTTCCGGTTTGGCTACATTTCGCATAAGTGACGACCAACAAAACAACACTAAATGCTCCGAAAAAACTAGTCTACATTTCGAAGGATACGGCAACCGAAAAGAATGAAACTGTCATAATTGTTGCGTGCAAATGCGGAAATATTTGCTTTTTTTAATATACATTCTACCAGATGAATGAAATACAAAAATTGCAGGGCTTTATGATTTTCTTCGAAAATATGAAATGAAATAGATCACAACAATAAATGGACCACATTTAAGGAGGTATCAAAAGAATGCAGATAGAGAGAGGAAAAATTGGCCTTTTCAACACAGAGGTATTACATGGCATTTTTTCTGCAGTTTGAAATCGATGCCGTTTTTCTCTTCTTCTCTTTTTTGTGTGTGTTAAACGATAAAAACAGGCTTAAGTTGTTTATTTACTCACAATGAACCACGAAATGATCTTCAATTGACCAGTTAACAATTGGCCATGAAAGAAACACCAAAAATGCGTATCTCATGCGTGTATTTTGAACAAGCATCCACAATGAGATCGCTTTCGAACCGCATCATCAATGCATCAACTCCATTCACAAGCGAGAACAAGCAAAAAAATCTCCTTTCATGTTGCCTCTTTGTCTACAATTGCTACATTTTTTTTTTGCGCTCTCTCTTTCCCATTTTACACTTCGAAAGAAACGGAAAAGAATGAAAGTTCCATGTTCTCGGTTAATCCCAAGCAAAAATGTAATTCGTATTATCGATATGAAGCGTGAATTCCATTCTTTTCCCAGATTTTTTTTTTTTTGATTATTCGGATTTTTTTTTTCACTACTAGAACATGGTTTATATTCATGCATACACTGGTACACATGGACTCATGATTCTATTTATTAGTTTTATAGATTAAAATTGAAATCGATTCAGCCTCAGATTTGGTTGAATCGAAGAAATAGCTTAATCGGAAAATGCGACAAATTTTTCAATCAAAGATTTCTATTCAGAATAGACACTATTCTACACACAACTATTTCAGTGTCAGTCTCAAAGAAGTAATATTTAATCTCTGGTTGAAAATCGACCATTTTTATATAAAATCGTAAAATTAGTCTTCGATTTAGAAGCTTTTTGCCCAAATCTTCCCGATTATAAAAAAAATTGTTGGAATTTTGTGAATTCTTATGGCCAAACCGGAACTTCCACAATCGAATCATTTGAGACAAAGATCAACGTGAACTATTCTTCGTGAATTACAATCACAAGTTGTGACTAACGGAACACAACTACCCACTGGTTGTCGTTACTTTCGTTCTATATTTATATTCTGGAAAGATATCATTTGAGTGGGAACAACTCAATCAATCCAATATATTACCGAGTATCTTCAGTAAATATAGAAATGAAATTGTCAGTTAGTAATTACTTCCTGTTATCAACTTATGATAGTAATTCAGAAAAAATAATTCTCAATTGATTTCACAAATGATTTGATGAGAAATTTAAAATAGAGAAATTATTTGTTGCAACAAGGCGCTATGCAGCAAAAAGTATTCGAAAAATTCCAGCACAGTTCCTAAAAATTAAAATATAAATAAACAAAATGAAAGAAAATACAATAAATTCACTTTACCAGGTTGTCAGTCTCGAAAAAGACGATTTAGAGTATAGAGTTTATAAACTGATAATTATCACTATATTTGTTTGAATATAATTTAAAAAATTATAAAAAAAAATTTTGTTTATTTTGTTACTTTTCCATTTATGACAAAATATCGATTGATGCGTGCATATTTAAAATTTGTCATCTCAATACAGGAGTTCTTCATATTTCAATTTCCAAATACAGCTGGCGGAACAAATTTCAAATATTGGCTGACAGCATAACCGAACGTTCACACAGCATTTGTATTCCGACGTTTTTTATCCCATTTGACACTCATTCTGGCAACACTGAGCTGAACGTTCATGCTGAAATGTCAACGTTGACACTGGAGTGTGTCTGTCAATGCTGCAAATTAATCGTAAACAAATCGAATCGTGCACATTGGGTTTTGAAAAATAAAGTTAAAAAGAGTTCCCTCTAAAGTGGTTGTTACTATCAACCAGAAGTATTTTACAGTGAAATTCTTTGGAATATTGCATGTAAAATTTTAGTCAATCGCATCGTAATTCTCTGAATTCGACGTGGACGCATTTTTATTCATTTAACCAAAGGGCTTGTGAAGGATATCGTGACATCAACTTGCAAAATGTAAGTATTTTCCCTAAAAAAAACAACCCAAAGAGTAATAAGTTAAAAAATATTATTGATTAAAAGTCGAAAACCTGTTCGAATTTACGACAAAAACCACGCGTCTAAATTAAGAATCGACAAGTGTCTATTTGTGACCCGGGGATTCAAAAAAGTTTCTTTAAACATGAAATACAGATTGGATTGATTGCTCTTCGCAAAAATAGCTTTTCGAAAAAAAGTGCATAATTAGATTGTGTAATGTGAGTTGGGTGGTATTCGGTGAATTTCGAAAGTACAAAGCCATTTCTCGGAAATGTAAATAAGCCTTGAGTGTGTCGTAAATTCAGCAAGAGGATGCGCCGGCTTTGAGCGTAGCATTGGCGTAGTATGTGAACAACGGCTATTCATGAATGGCCCATTTCGAATTGAAAGTAGACATTTGGCGTAGAAAACGTGTTCTTTTTTTTCCGTTGATGCTGTGAAATAGAAACGCCACCAAAAATCACATGTATTAGACGATGTTGATCGGCAATGAGTGTTTCCAAGTGCACTGAGTGCCAATTTGTGTTTAGTACAAGCGAAATGAGTACACATGTTTGACTGTTTATCTGTTTTTGGCATGCTTACAATGAAACTGAGCCGAGCATAAAAACGAATCGATTGCAATTTACAATAAACATGCCAAATAACATGCCCCACGCAACAAAACGATTGGCTATATGTGTGAATGGTCCGAGTAGCAGATGCACACACAGCGAGAGAGATGCACACGAGAGAGAGAGAGAGAGAGCGAGTATCGCTATCTATCCGCGCGATCAGTATCGCACGATGTACGATAGAGCGACGTATATGCGAAAAATTGCCTCTGTGCAAGCAGTGAACACGTACAGTGCAATGAATAGGGCTCGGGTATCATCACTTTGCATGACCAATGAAACGATGATGTTATTATTATAGTCACTTTCGCAAACCACTACACAATCGCATCACATCATAAACACTGCATGAGATGCGGAACATAAATTTATTATTTCTGTTCTGACGCCTTAGTCCTTTTCACGAACTCAGAGCTATTGGTCGGTCGGTTGGTCGCAGCAACCAACTCAAATTGCAAACGGGTAACAGTGATTGAGATTTAAATTTTTGAACTGTCGTTTGTGGAAATATTTTTCGGCTCTTTTTGGGTAGTAAAAGTTGATTGCGAAACAGAAACTATGGTGGGTTAACGATTTTTGTGCTCAGCCACGGGAAAATTCGACGGAAAGATTCAAATTTCGATCGTTTCTTGGAAAATCGGCAACACAGTCATTGCTAAAAAGCACTTTTTCTACTAAGGAAAAGGAAAATAACTTTTTGGCTACTCTTGTCCCTATAATGGTTACAATCATGTCAAGATTGTTCTTTTAAAGAATGTTTTTCAAATTAATTACAATTTTCATTGAAATTTGAACATATTTTTCATATCAAATAAGTTACGTGACAGAGAAAATTTAAAAAAAGTAAAAAAGTGATTTTTCATCAGTTGAAATTAGCTCTCTTTCTTCAAAACAGAACATTGAATACTCTTTTTTTTTTCTCATAATCCGTAAATTCTTCCTCTACAAATTATTAATAACAACGAACGAAAAATAATTGTTCATTATATTAAATTAACTGGCTTCGCAGCTGCTTCAAACACGCAAACGTTGAAATTATTCCGATTTTTCTGTTTCGGTTTCATATTTTCACGTCGGAAAGTTCGTGTAATTTGAGTAATTAAAAGCAAGCAGCCGGGGATTTGCATAATTGACTTTGATTCCTCATTTTCATCAATTTGGTATCAATTTGGCTCGTGCTTCTTGGCGCGCTTGAATCGCACCGACGTCAAGAGCAGAGTTTAATTAACAAATCGCAAACGAAAAGAAAGAGAATACATTGCACATTTTCTTCTCCAATTAACTCAATCTTCAGAGTCAAGTTTAAGCAATAATAACAGTAATAATCGGTTGCTCATTTAATCGTTTTTCAACTAGGCAAAATTAATTAATGATGTTCGATTTTGAATGCGATACAAGAATTTTGTGTGTGACGTTAATTTTTTTTTTGGCACATTTTCCGGACTGGCCGAAAATTGGATTGAAATTAGTTGCTTAAGATATTCCTTGTTGTGATGGTGACGTCTATAAATAAAATGATTGTGCGTTGAAAATGAAAATACTTGTATCGATTGTTTTTGAGCATATGCTCGCACAAAATCCCTATTTCACCTACACTCCCCATTCGATGTGGAAATTTCAAACTGGCCGCGCTCGCGCTCACACACACGCTAAATCGAACGACGGCGTTAACTAGTGCAAGTTCATCATCGTCGTTTATTTTATGATTGATACGATATGTGCCGCATGCAACGCGTAATTGATTGTTGAAATTTTTCATTTTCATGCCTAAGAGTTAAAAATAGTCACGGTGTGAACGAATCACAGTCAACGATCATTTTAATGTCAACAAACAGAATTTCCTTTTCACAAACTATGTTATACACAAAAAAGAAGACGATCGTATTTGAAGTCTTTCTCGTTGAATTTTTCTGCCCTGTGATGAAAGCCACAGCATCGTGTGTGTGTGTTGTTATTGTTAATAAAACCATTTCGATTACAATATGTGCCATTAAAATAGGATACATAACGACATAACGATAGCGCGCAGAGGTATTTTATTGAAAGAAAGCCCACATCGTCACGTGACAACGTCAACGTCGACTCGGGCGATGCAACGATGTCCCATTCACCCACGGAAAATGGTAAATTCTATCCATCATTTCCTGTTTTTTGAATTGGAACACCCCAAATCATATGGCTGGATTCGGCTTTCTGTTTTTATTTCAAATAGATTTCACAACAAAAGCAACAACGATGACGAAAATTCACGATGAATCGCATAAAAATAGAAATAACAAAGCAACACCAAAGCATTCGGTCACTTCAATTGCAAAGCGTCGTTGGAAGATTTTAGCAAAAGCACTATGCAATGGCTCTAATTCGTCGTCATTTGATGAATACGAAACGGAAAAAAGTAGTTCGCCGGTTGTGGCAACGGCCACAAATCAAACAAATCTGACAGATTCGGATGATTATTTGGCATCGGTGCGACGATTCACATGCTTCAGTTTATTTCGACGCAATCCGTTCATAGTGCGAAATGGTGAACATTGGTTTGTTTATCGAACGAATGTTGAAGATCGTGAATATTCGCTGGTCATTCGTGAGCTGTGCCAAAAGTTTACGCCCGAAGATTTAATCGGTTTCAATAACACCGGGAACATTTGTATTTGGCCCTCTGAAGAGGCACTCGCATACCATGTTCTGCATCATTTGCCTGCATTCCACGAGCTGCGTGTGTTGGAACTCGGTGGTGGAATGACCTGTTTAGCCGGTTTACTAATTGCCAAATATACACAGGCTAATTTCGTCAATTTAACCGATGGCAACGATTTGTCTGTACAGAATGCAAACGAAACGTTATCACAGAATACCACCAATTTGACGGCAAAAGTCATTTGTTCGGTGCTAAAATGGGAAAATGTGGCTCCAGTTCAAGAGGATGCTCAGTACGATTGCATCATATCGGCCGATTGTTTATTCTTTGATTCGGCTCGTTCGTCGTTCATAAATGCGCTGTGGTCGTTCATGAAACCAACAGGCTTTGGCTTGATTATGGCACCATGCCGCGGTGACACGCTCAACATTTTCGTGCAACAGGCCACTCAGAAAGGATTCAATTGCCAAGTACGAAAGTGCTATAACCGTACCATTTGGCAAAAACACTTGGAATTACTGGACACAAGCGTCTACGACGAAAACATTCACTATCCAATTCTGATTGAAATTACAAAATTATCGAAACAACATCGTGTTCCCATCATTCCTTTTACTTAATTCGTATTAATAATTGATTATTCCTTGGCTTTCGTTTTTTTTTTTAGCATTCCTGTTAGTTCAAATTGAATAATACACAAATTTTAGACGTTCTTTTAAATGTACAATAATTTAAGTGGGAATAAAAATGGTTTATCGAACAGTTTTTCTTAATTATTTTTCCTTTTGAGTTAGAATTGTATATGACAAATTATAAACAAACAAATCGAAAACAAAATCTTCTTCACTAATTGTCCATTTATTTTTTTTATGTTGTTCATTTTCAGGACCGATTATTGGAAGTCAAACGAGCGCAAGTACTGCGAATATTGCAGCTGTTGGATAGCGGACAACAAAGCTGTAAGGCTAACTTTTGTTTAAAGCCCATTCATTATTGCCAAAGCACTTAACCCAATTTAACTCCCCTTATTTTTTCCTTCCACAGAGCATTCAGTTTCACGAAGGCGGAAAAAAGCATAAGTTAAATGTTGCCAAAAAACTGCAAGACATCGGCAAGAAGAGCCAAAAAGAGGAGCGAGAACGACAAAAAGTGGATATTCAGATGCGACAAATGGAAGAAGCCGCTTTGAAAGCCTACGCACAAGATATTAATCGTGGCGGTGATATCACGACACAAGAAATGAATGCGGCCGTTGCTGCTGCGGCCGCCAGCTACGAAGAAGAAGTTGCGACAAAAGCAACAAATCGATCAGCACCCGGTCCATCGGCGATACCAACTCGTGCCATAGATCCATTGCTGCCGCCAATCGATGTCCTTGAAGATGAAGAGCGCGCCAAACGGGCGAAAATGAAGCGCAAATCAATTGGAACACTCGGCACCGAAGCAAAGGACCAATCGATGTGGGTCGAAGCCAAAAGTGACGAAGGACACACTTATTACTGGAATGTTAAATCGGGAGGTGAGAGTTTTTTTTCCCAAGTTTTACAATTAAACTGAGCACAATTGAATATGAGTAAAAGTTACGATTAACAAAAAGAAAAAACAAAATGGAATTAATATCTTTTCCTTAACAATTATACAGAAAGTATTTGGGAAGCACCGAAAGAAGGTTATATGACCATCGAAGAATACAACCGGTTGAATCTAGTGCATGAAGCAAAAACTGAACAACAATTGCATGAAGAATCCAAGTACATGCGTGCAAATGCTGACGAAATCGTTTCCAAATATCGACGAGAGCAGTTGAAGACGTTCCGTGCTATACATACACAACAAGAAGTCAAAGAAAAAGAAGCCGAACGTGAAGGCTACACTTCATGCAATGAAGAAGAGGAAGAAACAGCCGCTCCAGCACTTGGCAGATGGCAAACAGTTGTTAGAAAGTATGTGGAAATTGATTTGCATTCATGATATTTTCGATTGATACAATAGGGTGATCCAAATTGATTTATCATGGTAAGGTATATGCTCCCAATAGCTTAAAATTAAATTGCGCTCAAAACTAGCTGATTCACATTTCCAGATAAAAAAGATGTTAAAATCTAGTGGTCGATAGAGCCGTACTTAAAATGGCTGTTTTTGACCTATTTTTCAACATTTATATTGATAGAAAACCCAACGGATTCGTATTTGGCGTCCCAAAAAACCCAAAAAATGTTATGTCACCAGATTAGATTTGAATAACATATGGGTTTTCTATCAAAACATATGTTGAAAAATAGGTCAAAAACAGCCATTTTAAGTACGGCTCTATCGACCACTAGATTTTAGCATTTTTTTGATCTAAATTGGGAGAATATACCTTACCATGATAAATCAGTTTGGACCACCCTATTGATATAACCAATTTTTCGGTGATTTTTGTATGTATCCATATGAATTTCCATGTGACATTTTTTTTAACTGTTTCAGAGAAGTGAAGCCGGTTGATTTACAATTACCAACCACAACCAATAAAGACTACGGTTACATACAACCCGTACCAACAGAAGTGGAACCAACACAAAGAGTGTTCAAGGAAAAAACCGTAAAGAGTTTAGCAGATGAAGATTGCAACGTTTCGAATACCTTCAAAAAGCGCAAATTCGGTGGAAACAGAAGGAATGCACGTCAACGCTTAGATGACGATGATTGAGCGATTACTTTCAATTAGTTGATATTTGGCAATGTAAAAATGACTTGAATGTTTCGAAAAATGTAATGAAATAAATAAATTTTCAATGAAAATATTTGATTTGTTGATATGATCGGCTTAGATTCCAAATGTTAAAGACGCCATCAACTGACCAATTGCATCATTTTTACATAAATTGCGAAATTGTCCATTTTAACATTTTGTGAATCGAATAAAATGATTATTGTTTACGTAGAAAATGTGAAACTAACGTCCAATCTATCATACGTACTTTGATGATAATGTTATCATAAAGAGAAAATGATACATGTGTGACCATTCTGAATTGATTTTACGTCGACTGGTATTTTGAAACACGTTATTGCATGCACGCTATAAATGTGATATTATTTAGATTATTTAGTAGATTAGCTTCAAGTGGTTTCAAGTGGATTTAATCAACTCAATCTAAAACTGAATTTTAATTTCTGAAAAAGATAAAGAAAAAATTATTGAGCGTTGAATATTGGCCAGTGTTAGATCTGGAATTTATCTGAAACTTTCAGACTGAAAATTATTCTGCCGTCATTGACTTATCTTATCAATTGAAATGGTATGAAGATTGGTGTGAAATAAGTTAGATGTACCGATAATCAAGGTGGGTTAGTCAGTGGTTGAATTTCGACAAAGCAATTAGAACGTCCTTAAAATTTTCAAACAACTTCGAAATAATTGAACTTCAACGATTAACTTTGAACTGAGTAATTAAAGTGATGGCATTGAAAAATAAGGAAAACGTAAGTCAGAAATTAGCTATATTGTAAGAAATTGATTTTTTGGCATTTTACTTTGAAATCGATATCATAATTTATTTTTCAAAATTAATTAGAATAGGTTGTTAACATGGAATCACATCCACCGACTCTGACGCCTCAGCACAATGAAATTGCTAATGAACCTCCACCACCCTATAGTATTTCTATTGATTCGAGCGAAAACCTTAAACCTTATCCAGTTTCCAACATCGAATCCAACTCCAATTCTAATGATGAAGTATTGGCTGTTGTGGTAGAAAGAAAGTCCTATATAAGAAAGTCGAATAAAAGCACTGCTGCAGCGATATTTGTCATTTGTATGCTAATAGTTTTAGCAATTAGGTTATTTCGACTCGCAACCTATAATAAATAATATTGATTTTAAAAAATGACAAAAATGGTATGATTTCTTCCATTCTAAACTATTGAAAAAAATCCTACAAAACTTAAATTGTATTTTATATATAAAAAATGCCACTAATCAATGGTCAAAGTGTAAAAAGTGTACATTTTCGAATAGAATTAGGTGGTTTTAATTAAAATTTTCTTCGGACATTGTAGATTATTACAATAGACAGATATCCAATATCGATACGAAGTCGGAATGAAACAGCTCTTCCAATTTATACCGTACCCACACGACCAGAAACAAGAAGTTATTCTGATGTACCTGCTCCGTCACCCATAAAATTATTGACAAAAAAAGATAAATTCAAAATGTTGTTACTATTATTAGCAATTTTGATGCCTATCACACATAAGTGCCTTATCCAATATCGCCAAAACAATTGACCTTAAAATTTAGAACTAATGATTTATAGCGTTTCAACATCAACTTTCTAATTTACTTGCAAAATCAATTTCTTATACCTAAAACGTACGAAAACGTGAACTAATTCCATCTATTACTAATAGCATAAGTAAATAACGTACTAAATCTTAGCCGAATAAATGTTTATCTTCACGTGAATCCATTGGTTTACTTTTTATCGGACATTTTATCCACTAGTTCACCGATTTCGTGTTCGCTCAAAAGCCGATGCTCCAATTGACAGGTGAAAAAGTCTATTTCAGTCATAGCGCCGAAGTCAATCAAATTAAAGTTGGCACCAATTGCTTTGCGAAGATGTTGTGGATTCGTCGAATCGATTCCATTTTTCACACATGCATTTTGAGCCCATTTCACAACTGCATCGACCACATTGAATTCATGCCGGCTACTTGGGTGCTGCGACAGAATGGTTTGCAATGTGCCTGGCCGGCAGGTTGAAAATCCACGCGTTTCAATCACCGCATCAAAATGTTCGTACACAATGTCGATGCAAAGTCCGTGAACCGCAGCCAAAACCATCCAACTGCTACCCCAAGCCACATCAAGCACGAAACATACACTGTCAACGTTCAAAATCTCTTTCAGAAACTGAATGCATTTTGTCATACAGTCTTTGGCGTGGTATTTGTCAGCTAATCGCACTAGGTCATTCACATTATCCTTGTTGATTTGCAAATTATCGGCGTAGAATGGCCCAGGCAATCGATCGGTTGACACATTTGTCTTTTGTTGTTTCGCTTTCTTTGACGATTCATCGCTGAAAATGGGACTGTCAGCCGCCAAAATATGAGCTAAACTGGTTGATGTCGTCTCTTGATCGTTGGCTGCTTCCATTTTTTCGTGATTCTGATACATTTCTCTCTCCTTTGCTATAGACCGTTGCTCCAGTCCTTTACACCGAGCCTATTTTAGTGAATAAAATGTTTTTTTTATAATTCAACTAGCGATATGGAACCGATTTTTATAATTTTATCGAATTTACATAAGTCATACCTGTGTAAACGCTTCGCTTGAGCCGCTCGTCATGTGCAATAACACGGAGTTTGAAGATGTTCATGTTTACTGATGATTTCTCTCCAAGCGTTTGGAGAATGTATTCGTATTGTTGTCACAGCCAAACCATTGTCTGTTCCATCGACACACATTGATTGTGCGCTACATCCATGTCGTTCAATATAAGTTTGGACTTTGATAAATGTGTTTAAACTCAATTATTCTGATTCGATTCGTTAATCCTTGAAAATAATAATAAAAAACATTGCTGAACGACCCAGATCGACTAGTGTTGAATAAACCAACATTTCACACTGACATTTCGTATTTCAGCATTATTATGCTGTCATTGTTTTCAGTCGGAGAGAATGCGGATTGTTTATATTCAAATGTTCCTCGCATGCTTTGCTTTCTCTCTTCGCAACGAGAAACAAAAATTGCAACAGCAGCACATTGGCGTATCGCTGTCGTTTCACTTTCCATTCCTGTTGTGTCCGTGCTGCGATGTTCGATGCTGTGACACAGTGCATCTCCCTCTAACCAAATCAACTGTGCTATTGATATCGTTGTGTATCGTCCCATCGACGCGTTCCACTTGATTGTGGTTGTAAACTGTAACAATAACAAATTTGAGCTGATTTGACAGTGTGTTCGTACTGATGTCATTTGAATAAGAAAAACACGCGCAGTTTAAGCAACCGGCAAATCAGAACAAATCTGTCAAAGCAAAAAAAAAAATAAAATTTCAAAGCTGGAGAGGTAAAAACCAAAGAGTTCGAATATAGCGATTTTCCAAAGTGTTTTACAAACGATTTTTCATTGGTTTCTAGATCGAATTTGGATGAGAACGACTGTTTTCGCAACACAGCAACAATGGCATCGTCGGTAGAACCAGAACCGTTGCCTGAACCGGTGGCAGAACAAACAATGGAAACACTAAGCGAAGATTGTGTGTTTGAAATTTTCGATCGACTGCCGACCAAATATTTGTATCAGATTGGTCAGTGTCATCCATTCATATGTTAAAAATACTTTCATTAAAAAAAAAAAACAAATATGGAATCGGAACTATTTCAATTAAATTACTTATTACCTTTGTTCAGCTGAAACGTGTACGCGATTCTTCGATTTGGCATCAATTCAGTATCGACGCCAGCATCCAGAAAAGTTTGTGTGTTTGACGGTGATTGACGATAAAATTGTTTTGCTGCCCAATGAATACGATGTCAAATTGTTTGGTCGCAAATTTCTCAACATTATGATTCGTGGGGATGGTCGAAATTGGTAGGTCAAAATGGGCTCAAATTTTAATAGTTTCTGTCTTAACATGCCAAAACTTTTGTTCTTTTACAGTCGTTGGGAAGACGCATTGCTTCAATTCATCTTGGCCAATTGCAGTGCCAGCCTGCAGATGATTCGCTTCGAAAAGGCTATGCTAAAAAGTGTTCAGCTGAAAGCAATGCACCATATGTTTCATCGTCTAGAAACGGTGGTTCTTCATGAATGCGGTATGACTGACGACTTCTATGACAGTTTGTTGAGCGCGTGTCATCGATTAAAGCATATTATTATCAGCGATTCGTACACAATCATCGATCCGGTTGGCAGTAAATGGATGCAAATGAAATATCCGCTGTTGGAAACAGTACAAATTTCTTCAATCACCATGTTGCCATATCAACGTGAAGTATGGGTGAGATTCTTTCGCCAAAATTCACAAATCAAAAGCTTTGCATGTGACCACTGGTATTCAATCGATGCTATGGATCGTCCAATCAAAATTATCGCCTCAAATGTCCCGAATCTCAATCGATTGTTCATTTCATTGCGTGGTATTGGTCATTTGAATAGCACGTATTACGATCTATCTGTGCTGTGTGAAGCCGCTCAATTCCAAAGACTTGAACTACAGTTCAACGGCAACACTGGCTGTCATTATTTAATGCGCCATGCAAAATTGCTCGCCAAGATAAAACCATTCCATACACTTCATCTGAGCGATATGGCACTGACGAAGGACATTTCTCAAGTTATCATCAGCTTGGTCAATTTGAAGCGATTGAACTTCGTGAAAATCACGTTCAGCACCGAATTTGCTGAGACCGTATCAAGTGGACTGCCCAATTTGGAAGTGATTTACAGCGATGAACCAAACGATTTTACGCCATTCATCCGAAATGCGCCGAAGCTCACGAAGATCGAATTGGCCGACACCGAATTCGGTGCACTCAACCTGGGATGGGGAATGCTTTGGTTAAACGATGAACGAACCAAAATTACCGGCGCATGCCCGATTACCATCTACGTCAAGAGCATTTCGATGGAGGATGCAGAGCATTCAGTCATTTCAATCGGAATAATCGCCATCAAACCCATGCCAAAAGACAAACATTTACTCACTAAAGTTGGAAATTCTTTTGTTGATTAACGAACTAAAATGGGAAAACCCTTTCATTCTTCATTTGTTTTTAAATGTCGATTTGTTAAATCAAACCGATTTCAATGTTGATGGACACAGGAAAAACAAATAAAGGAATTTTATTCCATAATTCACTTGCAAACAATGCTATTTCTCTTCTTAATCTTCTTCCTGTTGATTTTCTTTCGATGGAATTTTCCAGTTTGAAAAAGGTAAGGTATCGCTTGGTGCTGCTATCAGCTATGATTTGGTGGTTCGTGAATATTCCCGGTTTGTCTTAGCTCCATTTTTCTTGAGATTAGCTTTGTTTCCTTTGTACCTACCTATTTGAGGTTAGATTTTCTTCCCAATTTTTCTCATAATATCTGATATCGTTCGAGTAAGTAGCACAATGAGCAAAAAATCTAATGCGTGCCCAAATGACCATTCGCATTGCTTTGAATCTGATCTTACATTTTATTCATTGCCCCGAATTCGATCCATTTTTTGTTAAATTTTTATTTTCATTTTGTCAATATTACAGTTAATTTGTCACAAAAGTCAATGTGTCATTAGTCTCTAGACTGTGTGAACTTCAGCTATCATGTGGTAGTTTGTGTGTGTGTGTGTGTGTATAATGGATCATTTTCTGATGTAGCTGACTTTGCTTGTCCACTTTTCCTTGACCTCTCTTTTGAGCGTTTCGTTCAAAGATGACAGCGGTTCCCATGAATCGTCAGCCGATGAATATCCTTTCCATCGAATCAATACCATTTCAATGCCATCCGATTGTTTGGTATAATCCAAGATTTCATCAACATCGTAGAAAGCATCTTCCATTTTCGGTTTCTTGTTTGTCTGGCGTGGCTCTTTGTTGTCTTTCTTCGGTTGTTGTGGTTCATCAAGTTTATGCTTTCGTGATGCAACCTTTGGCTCTGCTTTTTCCGACGATTTCTCATCGACACTTGTGCCATGAGTGGTCTTCTGTTTGACAGAACCCTAGAAAATCAAATGAAATTTACAATTTATTCGCAAAACGTGTCGATTCTGAGTGAAATTTACCTTGGCCTCTTCCAAATTACTGTTTTTGCATATGCTGGCGAACAATGCCAGATTGATCTTGTGATTTGGCGTGTTTTCTTTCGACGGCCAGTAATTCTCATCGTATTCACTGTAGCCACCAGCACATTTTTGCAAATGTTCCACCAATCCATCGAGATTCACGCATGGTATTTTGAACTTTTTTCGCGATAAGTCAATTTTGAGAACGTCAACCAAGAATCGCATGTACATGACATCGATGCCCGTTATCTTGGTGACAATCAATGTTTGCGGCACTGCATTCTCAGCAAAAACCACTTCAACGGGTACATAGCGATCCGCACCATTCTGTACATATGGCAAAACGATGTCTGATTTTGATTTGTCCAGCAGGTCGAACTGAATCCGAACTATACCGCCGTTAATCATTCTGTACTGTGCACCAAACTCCAGCTTCTGGCCACAATCCTGTTGATACTTGAAAATGTCGCGAACGTCGTTCAGTTTGACAAGCGTATCATTTCGATCGAATGTGTACTTGTACTTTGAATCATTATGCCAGCTGTTTATACCGTTCATGAGGTCTGCTTCTTCGTCGTACATTTCGTATTTTTTCAAATATCGAAAATCCTTGGGTTTCGAACCGAGTTTCACCTTCTGATCCTTGTAATGCCACCACAAAAAGTGAGTGGCAAAGTAAGCGTCTTTGTTGCGAAATATGTACGGAATGTGCTGTCCATTGAATGTGTCATAACCAAATTTTCCGCATCGAGTTGCTTCTCGCTCGACGTCCATTGTCAAACTGTAATCAAATGATCAAATTCAATTTGAATTTTTTTTTTTTTTGCAAACAATTCACTCAATAACTAATTTTACCCTTCGGCTGTTCGTATTTTTGAAAGTTTTTACGCAAAACCATGCAAAACACCACGCCGGAATGCTTAACTCAAATGTTTGTTTGGTGTAAGTGTTTGACAGATTCGATTCGATCCGTGTGCTAACTGTTTCGCGCCAATTCGGTGAGTGATGAAACAGCGGCGATACTGCCGTATTATAATGCGTCTCAATCGGCAAACATGTAACCAAAACACATTTATCGTCGCATCGTTGTCAGTTCACGTTCGATTTCTATTGAGTTCGTTCGTTGCTTGATGCTGTACATAGTGTATCACATTCAAACCGAAGGGGAGCGCATTATTGTTATCGCATGTAGTGGTAGATTGTGAAGCAATAAGTCGTCGTTGTATTGTAGGCTGTCTATTGTTGGAATGTCAAAGTGTCAAATGAACCATCGGTTTGGCGCTCAATTATTCTTAAGCATTCTTAGGAAACACGAACTTTTGAGGTAAACATTTCTAGTGAATTTTTGTCATCAATTTTCTTTTCTGTGGATTTTTTTTATAGAGAAGATTCAAATAAATTTGTGTGCGGAAATCAAGAACAACATATAACAAGGTGCATATCTTTACATTCATTTTTCATTTAATAAACTTTCTGTGTTCATATGCTAATTCAATTTCTTTAATTGATTATTTTCTCAAACATTACCCAATATAAACCCACAGCAATGAGTGGCCAAGTTTTTGAACTGGACAACAAAACGGCATAGCCTAATTGCCAGCGATTTTATCTGGATTCAAAGACAGCCGATGTAAAATTCGTGTTCAAAGGCAGTGACGAAAGTTTTTCAGCCCATAAAATCATAGTTTCGGGTGTCAGCTCATTGTTTGACGATATGATCTTCGGACAATTGCCCCAAAAAGGAGACATTTTGATTGAAGATGCTTCTTCGGGCGCGTTCAAGGAGTTTCTACAATTGTTCTATTTGGACAAAGTGCTACTGTCTCCCAATACATCATGGAAGTGGCCAGTTTGTGCAAGAAATATGCGGTGATCGGTAGATTAAGACTCTGCGAACAACAACAACAACAACAACAACAACAACAACAACAACAACAACAACAACAACAACAACAACAACAACAGTAACAGCAACAGCAACAACAACAACTACAAAAGTAAAAAAGTGTACAGGATGGTCAATTTATTGTCCACGGTGATTTTAATTATTATAACAATTATAATAATTATGGAAATCATAATGGCCGGCAATATTAAGTTAGTATAATTCACCTCTGTTGTTTTTGCTTCATTTTTTAAGGCTGTTTCATTTTCTTGTTCTTCAACAGTACCGTTCTTCCGCACCCAATCAATCCAAGCCCAAGGCAATATGAACTAGATGGATTAGTATCGCTTTAAGCAAATACTCGAAATATGTCAAAGAAATTCATTTTTCGAATAAATTCTACATGTTTCTTATTGCATGTGTTTATTTATTTCATCTGACATTGAGATAAAACTTGCTTTTTTGTACAATTAAGAGGAAAAGTTAGGTTGATAATTAGGAAATTTGCTTTTCAGCCGTTTCAACTCTTCCGAAAGACGTTTAATCTCTTCAGACTGCTGCTTCATAGCTGCCTCTCGTTGTCGATCCCTTATCACTAGCTCGGCATTCCGAAATTCAAGTTGGGCAATTTCGTCTTGCAAAGTTCTAAGAATATTCAATAATCGATCTCGTCGCTCATTCATACGTCGTTCTGCTTCGATATTCATTTTCACTTCCCACTGGTTTTGAATAAATTTATTGATTGAAACGGAAGACAGAAATAATGAAAAAAAAAGAAAAAAAAAGCTTTAGCTTGAACGTACCTTCGCAGTTTCTTCTTGAACAAACCTCTGAATATGTGACAAACGCACATATGGCTTAATCGTTTAATAACTGCCACATTTTCTTTTGTGTCTAGCTTACAGTGTTTACCGTCGATTGCCAAATTGGAGCTACTTGTTTTTGACAATGCATTTTTTCATAGCACAGGAGAATTTTAGAAAAAAAAAATTAAAATGAAATTTTATTCAAGTTACGGCTCGTATCAATCAATTTAATAATATTTAAAAAAAAAACAATATAAAACGGTCGACTTTGTGGTCACTCTTAACTTGAGAGTCTCAAGTATATACTCTGAAAAAAAATTGAATGAAAAAAAGGCAGCAACAATTCGGTTGAAATGTTTCTCATCAAATAAATGTCATTTTATTTGTTGTTTCAATTGGATTTTGATTTAATTCTTACATAATTTCGAGTTCATCTAAACAAAAATATTGAAAATGTCCTAAAAATTAACGTAAATCGTAGAATGGCGAATTAATACAAATGTAATGCGTTTTCCAAAGAAAACGGGAAATTCGAAATAAGTGGTTTGTTTGATTATTAAAATAAAATACAATTGTGTTTTTTCCACATTTTTGTTAAAATAATTATTCAAGACAAAACTCGCATCATACAAGCGATCGAATTTTGATTATTCTTTTATTTTTCAAATAACAAAAAGTATTTGCTAAATTTTTCAGATTAACTACAACAAACAGTCAATAAATGTATTTCGCCTTTGAAATTGTGTATCGCGCGCGCCACAACAAAATGTTTCCAAAACACAAAATGTTCAGTATGACATCAATAAAAATTCAAGGGCCGAAAAGCAAAGTAAATGTGCGAAGCCAGCTCCGGGTTAAAAATGATCATCTCTCTTCTACCTTATTTCAAAATAAATTATAGTCAAAGCATATCTCACAAAAACTTAACAATTTTGGAAGGCAATCAAAAATTCAAAAAATTACACAAATTCAAATCAATTGTTTGGTTTCAATTTTGTTCCGTTTTTTTTTTCCCTTTGATAATAATATTTGGTTTGACTTGACTTGACTCGATTGGTCGTTATTGGTTTTTTTTTTTTGTCATTCAATTTAGTTGGTATCTAATATAATTTAAGAATTTTTTTTCTTGAATATTTGGTTGGTTGTAACAAGCGTTTAAATATATATATATTAATCCCTTAGTTTATTTGCATTTGTTTGTTATTAATCATTTATCGTAATAAATATAATTTTTATCGTAATTTGCTTTTGTTATTGTTGTTTTATTTTTGTTTAAATTTTTTCAAGTGGATATTTTGGACAAGGTGCGTGGCAGTCGGCACAATTTTATGAGCTAGAAAGGCGTTAGACAAATTCAAATCATGCACATATTGTGTTCCATTCATCACTCACTTCTCTCGATTGATTAGGAAAAATTCCATTCATCAGAATCGAACTGAATTCTAGCTAAAAATTGGTTTGATTGGCGACACACGCACCCACCCAAACCAACCTATGTGTTATGCCTGTGGAATAGAATAGTATTGTTTTGTTGTTTTTAAATTCAGATGAATATTATGCATTCAGAACGCTCTTATGATTCAACTTCGAAAGTGGTTTGAAAATACATTTTAAGTACGAATAAATGGTGAGCGATTCTTTTTGTTGGTTTTTCATTCAGAAAATCGTCGGTTCCTCGAATCATGGAAACAGCTGCATATATGACAAAAAACATTTTCAATTAAATGCTCTCGCGAAAAATTGAGAATTGATCTAAAAATTTGTCATATAATTAAGAAATATGTTAATATTGAATATATTTAGCCTAAAGTCTCTCTCATATTGCGTGTGTCAAGTTCAAGAAAAATCTTGCACAAGAACATTCTTCGAAAAGGAAAAAACGAATAACACAAATTGAAAGGGTACAAAATAGTCGCCTTCATCTCGATATGATTTTTAGTGGGTAATTTATATAGATTTGTTTTTCTTTTATCTTCAAAAGTTCAATTTCATCCATGTCACAAAAAGGCAAGGAGATTTTTTTTAGAGTGTTTTTTTTTTCTGGGTAAATATGTCGAGGAAATAAACGATAGAAAATAGAGCAGGAATAAAAAGAAAGCGATAGGAATATTACGTAAATGGAGTAAAATATTTTTGGGTTTCGATATAGTTTTTGTTGTTGTTGTGTTGAATAAAATTAGAAAATGTTGGAAATTATTTGAAGGGCTTACATACTTAATGTCTATTCAGTTTAGTTTGGTTTCAGCTCTGTAATTTGTGTATGTGTATGTTAGTGTTGCATTTAATGTACAAGAGTTGCTGTACAAATTCAATTGATGTGTGAACGGCGAGCGATCAATCGTGGGCTGGGAGTGGCGACAAAATTGATTGTATTGACGTTGGTAGAATGCATAGTATTTTGGTATATTGAGCGAAAGAGTTGTTAACAAAAGGACTCGTATTCGAATCACAATTTTTTTTCTTGGATTTTTTTTCCCCTCGAGAGTTGGAGGACCAAACGAAATTTGTGTTTTTCAATCTACAAAAAAAAACGATTATTCTTATTAAAAACCTATGTTTGTTTTCGTAACGAGGTTCTGGCTTCATAACATCTTCTCTTTTTTATCCAACTAAATGCATTTTTTGTTATTGTTGTTGTAATTTGCCGCTTTTCTGTCACTACACCTTATGTCATCGATACTGAGCTGCTGTAGCAATGTCATTTCATTCTCGTAATCTGCGAGAATTTTCCCCTTTTTTTTCCATCGAATGAAAAGTTCATACCACAAATATTATTTAATGTAACCTGATTTGTTTAATAAGTGTAACGGATGTCTCAAGTAGGTCGTCGTTTCGCTCCATAATTCAAGGCTGCTTGAGTGTGTCGACATTTCTTTTTCCATTGTAACGATGATTTTCTTTATTTTATTGCATTTTCGAATGCGTTTCCTGCAGAGTTTGAGCTCATTTCATATATTATTTTGTCAGCTAATTTGAATGTAGGTCAATGGATTCGTAACAAGTCTATGTGTTCAAGTTTGGGTTCGGTTTCGGGTAATGTGCACGACGACGCTATGAATTTTAATCAATCAAAGTGCTTTGATCTACTTCTAGGCAGTCGATAGTAACGATATTGCCTTTATCCGATTTATCCGATTCGGGCAGTTTGATTCGATCGGTTTCCCCTAGATTTGGCATCATTATGCAGATAAACGGTTGTCCAGTCGACGAGTCGCGCGGATGCAATGTCACCGGCATAAATCGATCCGTTGTTCCTTCAACAAACGAGTTAAGCCGTTGAAATATTTCGGGATAATGTTTACGTAGGCTAACGCCGCGCTTTTTCAACGCCAATTGCATGTTCTGAAGCACAAGTTCTCGGTTCTTTAGCGTATTTTGCGTTTTATCGCACATATTAAATGTTAGAATTAGCACATCGGTATAGACTTTGATTGGTTCGGCGACGGCTATGGAAGTGCTACTGGCCAGCGGATCCGATGCTGAATTCGATGTATTCGATGTTGTTCGTTGGTGACCTGTATTTGCCGTTGAATTTGCATAATTTCCAACTAGTTCAAGTGGTAGTGTTTTGCTTAGCTTTAATTTGGCACAACGCGATACGAGTTGACGCTCCCATTTTACCGATGTCGATGATGCACTGCTTGGTGCTTCTGATACAACACAAATTGCCACATAAATTAGCATTTTTGAATCGGGCTTGTACTCGGTGCTCAATCGAAGTAGTTCCGAATACAGTTCGGGGCCCATTTCTTGCGGCATCAACTCCGGCCATCGAACATAAGACGCTTCACCGATCCGTTGAAAACCCTGTTTGACGAATACCTCTGCACTTTCTGGACTGCGAAATAATATGCGAACAACACCTCGGCCTTGTGTCAAATAGCCTCGTCGCGCTAATATCGATAAATGTGACAGGGTATCATTATCATCCTTGCACGCCGACAACACTTGACGACACAATACCGATACACGTGAATGAAGGCAAGCTTTGCGATGCTTTTCCCAATGGGCACGACGACAATCGCGTGAACAATATATTTGAGTACCTGAAACGGGTGGAGCAGAGAGAACAAGGAAAATGCATGAGTTAAGCTATTCTGAAGGAGAAAATTCATATTTCAATTTTTAATTGAGGGTTTTTTTTTTCTCTCGGAAACAAAACCAAAATATTTCACGCTATCGCTTACAATTGTGACAACTCTTGAAATTTCGTTTGGCATCGGATGGACTGGCGGTGGCATCGCATTTTGGATTTCGGCATTTGATCATATCGCCAACCGTTGATGCATTGGCCGATGACACTCCAGCGGCGGTTGATTTGGATTCCGTTGAATCGAGACTAACACGACGTAGTTGAGCGGGTGAATCATTATTGTCAGGTGTTGTTGAGTCGGGACGTTTTGCGGCATCACTTTCGCTACGACGACGCAACGGTTGTGTGTCGATTGTTAAACGACAGCTATCATTGATTGTGTTTGTGTCTCCTACACGGCAGCAGCAGAGAAAAAAAAAACAGGAGAGAAAAAGACACAGAGCAAAAAAGAAACATATACGCGAACAAAAAATAGGTTAAAAATCATTGTGCTAATTAGGCAGTGGGTGAGAGACACAAGTGTCATTATGTACGATGGGGGAATATTTACAAGTCTCTTATTATTATTTTTAGTTTTGTTTTGTTTTCGTTTATACATTCTATAAAAAGCTGAAAAACCAAACGAGAGTTGATGTCGAATGGTGCGCAGTTCTAGCATAGCCTTAGGTGGAATGACTTTAAAAAAAAAATACAATTCAAATTATATATATGCATCATATGATTTTTGATGGAAATGAAGAGAATCGAAAATAATTCCACTCAAAAAACATCGAAAAAATAATGACTGAAAGAACATTTTTGTGTTAGAACGAAAAAAAAGCAAGAAAAAAGTGAAACACACGCACAAAAATGCACAAAACATAACAAATAAAGCGAAAAATAAAACGAAATTGGTGTTCAGATGTTTTGTTTTCGATTATTTTTTCTGTTGTTCTGGTTGTGGAAAGAAAATGATACAAAAATTAAGACGGAAAAATTAGACGGAATGATAAATAAATAAACAAAACAACAAAACTTACAGGTTCATACCTGAAGACCTGTACTCTGACGGTAAGCCCAATAAAGATGCTAAAACATCTTCTAATGTTGCTGAACCTCTGTGCGAAGGCCGATCGTTTTGAATGGAAAGTACTGGTAATGGTGACTCTATATCAATTCAGTAAGCAGGAGAATTTTGGATTTTTTTTTTTCTGTTTTGACTGTTTGATCTTTCGTATTTTGGTTTAAGTTGTAGTTCTTGTTGTTGAGTGTATGGTAAATAAATTTGTTTAAATTTTATGGTGACATTTGTGGATGGAAAGCAAGCAAATGAAAGGATATTGAAGCGATTGGCGATACGTTGCAGAGAAAAAAAAGTTCGACAATTTTGGATTAAACTGGTTTTTTTCACATTCGTTGATTTAACCGCAACATCCTTTCATTGCCAGTTGGAAGCTGGATATACGTGTGGAGCAGGCATGGATGGTGTTTGGACAGTGATTCGATAAAGATGCTTAAATTGTGTGTACATATTCGATAAGCGATTGTAAGACTGGGCTTCAATTCACATTCTCCTCGGATTCGAAATGGAATTCGATTTTCATGAAATACTTACATGAAACAAAAAATGATAGAAAAATCATATAAAAAAGCAAAGCGAACGAAAAAATAAAATAAATCCGAGATCAAATCAATTTAAAATTAAATAGGGAAATTTCTGTTTTTTTTTTTATTAAAATGATTGTAATTTCTTAAAAATTAACAAAATTAGTTCGATATAAAACAAAGAAGAAAAAAAAACTAACTAAAAAAATAATGCCTAAGGAGTTTTGATTGTATTTAGTTTTTGTTCGGGAGTCTCATTCGATTTTCTTCTTTTTTTCGTAAAATTAAAAAAAAGCTACCAATTTAAAAAAATAACATTTACAATGTTCGTTGCAAACCCTAAGCTAGGGATTTTGAGCTGGGGCTAGGGATAAAATTATTATATATATGAATCGTTTCAATTTTGAGATGCATTCTATGGGTGAATCACGATTAAGTGTGTATATGTGTGTTTTTTTAAAATCACTTGGTCGAGTTGAAAGTGGAATAAGCGAAAAACAAACAATTATATGTGGAAATAAATAGTAAATCCCAACGTTCTAGTAGATAGAATCTAAAATTAATTGGGTGTTTTGGTTGTTGCAAGTTTATGATTCTTTGTGGTGCGAAAGTGAAAAAAACGGAATTTGATTAGATTCGGTGATTTGGTTTCTTAACAAAAAAAATTTCATTCGATTGCCAGGTTATGGACGATTTTGGTCCGGTTTTGTAGGTGTTTTTATATTTTTGTTACCATCGAAATCATAACCAACCCTGTTTGTTAAAGACTCCAAAGAGGGAGGTGATTTAAGCATCAATCAAGTGCCATCAACTGTTTGTCAGCAGCTGATTTGACTCGATTGCTTGTGCATGGTGTTGCTTGCATTGTGCCGGAAATATGCGCTCTGAGCACCAAGTGTTGAACCAAGTGATTACATTCTTTTAATGCGTAGCAAAAATTAAAATTTGAATCGATTTTTTTTATTCGTCATCGTTGTTGTCGTTGTTGTCGTTCATTTCAGTGTTAATTTGTTTCCACATTTGATTTATAGATATATGAAGAAAACAAATTTATAATCATTATATCCATAGCGAGAGAAAATTATAAAATAAAGAAGAAAAGACTCCTTAGACAGAAAAAAAAAAACGTATTGTAATAATATTATAATGAGTTTTATGTGTGTATTTGCACTGATCATATATATTTATGTCATATTTTGTACAGGATGAAATGAAAAAAAGGAGCTCAAATTATAATTAGTATCGCACACTTTGACTTTTTTTCTACCATGAATCAATAATCGATTTTGTTCCGTCCATGCTGTCACTTGTCAAGACCAATTGACTTCATGTTCATTTCATAATCGATCAATCGGATTGCAATTGAGAAATGAACACGGGTGATTCTTGAAATGACAAACACTTTCCAAAATCATTATGTTTTTTTCAAGGAAAAATCGAAAGCCCTTGATACGGTTAAGCGAAACCAGAAAAAATAACATAAGAAATGTTTTATAAATTTTCTACTAAATCATAAATCAAATATCAAATGAAACTTAATCATCAATTCGTGTCTATTCATCTAAAGGACTCTGGTCCTATGTGTTCTGTATGTGTGTTGCGTGTGTATGTGTCTGTGCACTCGAAACAACAACAAAAAATTCATGTTAAATTTTTCTTTCCAATTCACAAAAAAAAAAAAAACTCAAGACAAGACATTTGTTATCGTTACCTAGCACTAACCGAAAATTCTTGCCAAAAACGCGCAATTTTGTTTTCTACGTTTCAGTTTTTGTTCGAGCATTCGCAAATTTTATCAGTTTGTTCGTTTTTTCAGTTAATTATATAATCAGAAAACAAATGTAGTTGGACAAACAAAACTTTACATAATAGAAAATGAAAATCATTCTGTAAATCAAGCATAACATAAAGTGAAACTAATTCAGTTAATAGCTAATTCTCATCGAATTATTTTTTTCGTAACGTAAATAATAAGTTCGTTCGTAAAAGTCACAATTACGATTACTTTTCGTTTTAGCTGTTGTGTGCTATCGAAAATGATAAAGAAATTCAACAAACGGAACAAACAAGGAAAAAAATCCTTTGTCGTAAAATGTAAATAAAAATGAAATTATTCAGTGAGCAAAACGGGTCTGTTTTTCTTTCTTAAATTGTGGATTGATGCGTGTATTTGCTTTGTCTAGAGGAGACGCGACTCACCAACGCCATTTACTCGGGAAGATGCAGCTGAGAGACCAATCGAACTCTCCAGTACCGGTGTCTGTGGGGAATCCATTGGTTTGTTGCCAACAAATGAACTTTCTAACCAGCAACGCCTGAAAGTAACAACAGAATGAATTGATAAATGGGATTCCACTCATGTTTGACTTGATGAATAATTAAATTGTCGCAATGATGAGTGTACTTACCTAGACGATGGGCTGGCCGATCGACTTCTAGAATTACCGGATCGATTGGTTTGATCGTTGACATAATGCACAATAGCTGACGTTACTTCTTTGATCGACGTCTGGATCTCCGGGGAAACGGCTGGCTCTGTGGCAGTTTTAGCACTTAACGAATTCGTATTATTTGACTGGGTTTGTTGTTGCTGCTGTTGCTGTTGTTTGGTTTGTTGACGGCTCAACATCGATGATGCAAGTCTGGAAAAAGACACATTTTGTTAGTCATTCTTGTTGGAGCATAGAAACGCGAAATTAATTGTAAATGAATGATTCAAAAAAAGAAATTTAAAATATTGTTGAGAAATTTTTTTTTTATGGTTTGTTGCAATGAAAACATTCATTCTTCGGCATTAAAGCGTAAATCGATAACATACCGTTCGTGAGGCGTTCGTGGTTGTGATAATTTCTCTTGGCTTCTCCATCCGAGATATGGTTGCCTGAATGAGCCGCGTATTGACGATTGATTCGATAAAATGCTTGCATTCGGTCCGCCACGTGAGAATGATCCACGTGTCGAAGCACTTGGTGATGTTTGACTGGAATTTAGATGCGATGTGGACCAACGCGAAAAACCTGTGTGACCATGATGACTTTGTGCGGATGGGCTTAACAATAACGGGCTACGATCCGATCGATGCGATCCTAATGAGCTGAGTGATGTGGTTTTTGAACTAAGGCCAGTCCATCGTTGCACATCGGCGTTGCGCTTTTTGGTAAAACTGCCCGGCACATAGCCACCGGTGCTTTCGCCACCCTTTGCAGCGGTACTGTTATACTGTTTGAACCAATCGGGAATATTTAGCCGCTGCAATGATGCTTGCACACGCAACTGATGCTCGCTGATATTTGTATTGGTGTCGTGGGATTTTTGGAGCTCATTTTCTGGGGGCTGTAAAATACAGAAAAAAAACATGTTTTTTCATTTAGTTTTCAATGCCTGCTAAGATAGATGAATAAACAACTAAAGCGAAAAATTGAAATGCAATTTTGGAAATTCTCTCTTAATATCGAAGAACGATAAAAATGAGTTCGCAAAAGGAAACATTCGAAACACGTGTATTTATTTTCAAGTATTCATTCTAGATCACGATGTGAAATTCACCGATTTATTTCCGTTTATGTTGTACCTGTGCTGAGTGTGCCTCTTTCAAAGCCGTATAAAGCAGCTCTTCGGCTGACATGACGTTCTTTTCGAAATCAGTTAGCACATGCTGGCTAATTGTGTTGCACACCTCAGTGCAATTGTACGAACAGTCACGAATGAATGTGAGAAATTTCTTGAGCAATCGTAAATTCATCGAACTCAATCGTTTTTCATCTAAACTTGAGATGGCTGCAACGAGTCGTTGAATTCGCTCCAGAAGGTATTGCGTTTGCACGTACGTTTGAACAGCTCTCAATTTTTCATGAGCATCCAATTTTGGTTTGGCTACATCGTTTCGTGCCTTTTGATTTTCAACAATGATTTTCTTTTCTCTCTTCTGCTTCTGCAACTCTGCCATTCGCATCGTTGATGTATCGAGTATGCTCTGGTCGTGTTGTTTATCTTTGAAGAAATTTTCGAAAAAATTGCAATTTTGCTTGAATTTGTGTTTGGATTCGGTGCGTTTGAATTGATATTCATCGTCATCAGATGTCGATTGAACGGACGGTGATGTAGATGAACTGCGTTCCGACGATGAATGGTCATTGAAAAATGCAACTTTGCTACGAACATTGCCTCGATTCATTGGCACACTTAATGGTTTTTTGAATGTAGCAGCCGTATCACTGTCGCTGTCATGCAATGACGCTGTCGATGACGTTGACAGCACACTGACTGGTCGCCGATTTGGTATGCGATGCGATGTTGGCTTTCTGCCAACAACACTCATATTTGTCGGTTCAATTCCATTGAACTGTTGGATTTTGCTCAAAATTGCCTTGCTCTTGTTTTGAATGTCTTGGCGTGCTGTTTGCTTTTTCTTCGGCTTTGATTTATCGGTTAGCAGAAGATTTTGCAAATTGCTTGCTAAATTTTCTCTTTCGTTGAGCGGTGGTGGTGGCGGCGGCAGCATCATTTTGATATGGTGTCGTTCATCGTCGTCGTCGTTGTCGTCAGACTCTTCGCTGATCAATAGATCATCGGTGGTTACGTCTTGATCAAAGTAGGCGAATATATTTTCGAATTGTTCGCTATTCACCGTGGTGCATGTGTCATTGAATGACGACAAATAGCTGGTGTTTGCCGCTGAAAATGTTGCATTCGCCATACTATTGTCGACCTCATCGTTGTCGGGCGCATTGAATAAATCGTGGGCATTTAGCGCTGGTACGCTTTGAGCCGCATGCACTTTTCGATGTGCCGTTTTCTTCGGCCGCTTTGATTTCTTCGTTGGCTTGCACAACAGGTGCTCAATTATCATATCAAAATCCCCGCAATCCAACGCACTTATGTCACTAACAATCGATGTATCCATATCTAAACCGTATTTCGATGCCATAGTTTTTTAAACTATCCAAACGAAATTACTTTACTTTTTCCGAAGTTGGTTATGAAAAGCAAAAAAAAAAAAGATCGTGTGATGGCCAAAAAGTTTTTTTCTAATCAAAAACTTAAACAAAAACTTGATTTGAAACAAAAAAAAAATTATGTACTGTGTTCAGTGTTCTGTGTGTAAGTGTATAAGCTACTTGCGAACCGTTCGGTCGGTCAATTTCAACAAGAATGAAGTTTGTGTCGTGCACGCACTAGCATTGAGGGTGCTCAACACACACAAAAAAAACTCATTATAACTGTATATTCTCTCTGTGTCGCCTCTCACTCTCATTCCACTTTAAAATGTAACATCGACCGTCTAAGTGACGAGTGCTAATGTGTCGATTGCCAAAGTGAACCAAGTAATTCGCTTGCAAAAACATGTTCTAATTTTTTTCTCCGTCTGTGTCTGTTTACATTTGCATGTAAAAACAATAGCCATAAAGAAGAGCACCGAAAAATATGAACATACAAGACAAAGACTCATGCAAAAGAAGAAAACGAAGACGAAAAAATCCCCGATATTCGTTTCTCTTATTATTTTTATTATTAACACAGTGACATTGTGAACAATATTCGCATTGCTATTCATTTGCTGAACTCTTCCTTTCCTCGTCGCAGTCTGTCAGTGTGTTAGCAGTCGCTGGCTTAATACGCTTTGAATGATTTAGTATCAAACACAAGCAGGAGAGAAAAAACAGAAGAAGAGAAAGATGTTGCGTTGTGACGGCAGAGACAAAGCATAAAATGTGAAATGCGGAAGATGAGTGGTATGGAGAGAGAAAAATAGTGGCAAAACTAGAAATGGCTTGGTGCGAGAGAGAGAGGGATGAAGTGCTTGGATGGCATTAAGCCGTCGAGATAGAGCAATGTATTGCTATTACAGCAGAGTCAAATAGAATGGATTATGGTGCATGATGCCAAGAAAACAAATAAAAAATTCCCAAGATTAAGGCAAAAGTCGACGAAAAGCGAGACAAACACACACACATTGAATCACATCGCACAGAGTGCATGAGATGTGTCATATATGGGATGCCGTAATTACATATTGATTGCTTGTCTTTGTCTTTGTCTTATAACCTTTATGATGCCCGCTGTATGTACGTGTGTATTTTGTGTTTCTCCAGTCACACGAAAAATAAATAAATATTTACTTTATGCTGTTTTCCGTGCGGCATATTTATGTCAGCGATTTCAATGGGGTGATTCGTTCTATTCTGTTCTTTTTTGTCGCCATCGCTTTGCACTGTCATTGTGAATGTGACACCAAAGTGCCATTCAATACACAGGTAAAAAAAAAACGTTTTAAACATCTCTCTCATCTCATATTTCGGTGTGAGAATCTGCGCATAGATAGAGAGAGCGAGAGAGAGAGAGAGAGAGAGAGAGAGAGAGAGAGAGAGAGCAGTTCATTTGCATATAAATATAAATGGCTTCTTAATATTTTCCTTTCATCGTGACACTTTTTTCGGGTAGAAAAAGTCTTTTACAACAACGAAAAATGTTGCATCGTTGACATTCGCCACATCAACTGGGAAAAGGATGTCGTTTTCTATGTCGTGTAGAAAGAAAAAAATATCAAAATATGGCAAATTAAATTCAGGTTGAAGAGAAAAAGAAGGGTAGTGCCACTTTGAATGTGAACGATGGTTTTCAAGCTGTTCTTCACTAATTACATGCATAATTGACTGTTTTTTGTGCGCCTCTCTTGCCACAGAACACGTCTGCTGCTACTGCTGCTGCCACTTGCTAGCTAACGACGACATCAACGACAAACGAACGAACGAAGCAGCTTTGATGACGACAACGTGTACAGCCGAACAGCCGCAGTAGTTCAAAGACAAAATTGCAGCAGCAATTTCGATTTTGGTTTTGTTTTGTTTATGCACGGCGGTGGGTAAAAGGTTTTTACGTTTGATGATAATTGCTAAATGGTGCACTCTTTGTTAGGGCTTCGACGAGAAGTACTCTCTCACATTGAAGATCTGGTTTTTTTTTCTCACCCTCTCATTCTACTTGGCCTGTGTGTTGCGATGCGATTCGTGTCGAATAGAAAAAGCAACAGCAACAACAATGTACGGACTCGTGTGTCAAACCAATCGAATTTTGTGTATGAGCTCGTAGTGAGTTTTGTGCTGAAACGATGACGGTTTTCTGTGAATTTCCACAGTCCATTTTCAGCACAATGAACCGTAGACATACGTGTATGAAACGCATGCATATCGCGTAGTCAGTGTTCAGCAGCAGCAGCAGCAGCAACACACCAAATGCCCTAGAATAATCAATACACGGCACCCGAGTGAGAGCGAGAGCAAAGAGAAAAACATACATACATTCGTCATCATGTAATCGCAGCAATGGAGCAGTATGCTTTTACGTTTCGATAGAAATATGGATAATAATGAACATTTTTTCGAGTTTCGCTTTGAAAACAGAAAAAATGAACAGCAACAATAGCAGTAATATCGACACAGAAATACAGATTGGATGATAGGAAAAATAAGGCAAACAAAAATAATGCATCATTGCATCAACATAAGCGGAGAGTTGGTATCCAACAAAATGAAACATTTTTTTGTGTGGAAAATCTTACTTTTAATTTATCATTGTCATCATCGTCGTCCAATTGAAACATTTTGTGGCCAACAATTCCGTGGTTGCTGTCCGAATGAGGGGCAACTTTGTTCAAGTCCCAAAAACGATTTATTGATTACGTAAATGCACTAGATGAATAATGAATACGACAGCTATCGTGGCTGCAGCATTGAAGTAATCCAGATGATTGCTTGTCATAAAACCTGGGCACTTATTGTTATGCACTTTCAATTTCCACCGTACACCGATTTTTTTTTTCCTTTTTCAATTTTTCCTCTCTCCTTCTTCGTCAACGTTCACTTGACGTTCAAGCCGATTCAGAGTCGAAGTCGACACAGTTGGATATGGTGTGTCATTTTTTTTCGTTTGGTTTGGTATGCTATTTTGTTTATTATCATTCGAATATCATTGATTTTCGTTTTCTTTTGCGATGTATTTTGAGGTCGCGTTTGTAAAAATAATCGACTGCCCGCACTAATACAAGCCCTCCCCTCTTTTTCCAACTCAATTCAATTCAATTCTCGTGTATTTCGAGAGCCAAGGCGAGAACTATTTTCCAATTTTCTTAACAATACGAAACGAAACAAGAGAGAAAACGAAAAAAAAACACACACCGAGAATATATCTACGCTATTCTGATATTGCCATAAAGGTCATACTACAGGTAATTGGTGACTTTACATTTGTGATTCCATTTCGCTTGTCTACATTTGTTGTTGTTGTTTTTTTTTCTTCTTTTACTCCACCATTCGACAAACACTACAATTTAACAA